GGTAAGATGTAAGAAAAAAAAAGAAAGAAAGAAAAAATAACTGTATTCCAGATTATACAAAATAAACTAATAAAGTTCCACTTCATTTGTTTTTGTTCTGTCTGTGTAACACACCAAAAACAGCCTGAATATTTCTAGCATTTCTATCAACTTCTACAATTTATTTCACTTTTTTTCTCTCTTATTCTTTTTCCACCTCTGTATGAAAAAAATACTGGATAACATTTAGCATGCTATACTACTTTTAACCAGCAGGGGAGCTGTTTTCCCCCAAACCTTTCTGAGTCCATGTGGAAAAAATTAGCATTAGCATTCTAATTGTAAGTCAGCTCCTCCGTATTTTTTTCTGAAGGCTAAGGGGAAAAATAGCTGCCCCCTGCTGGTCAAAGCTGGTGTAACATGCCATACATTATCTGGCACTCCTTGGTAGAGAAAAACAAAACTGAGAAAGGAGTGGAACTTCTCAGAAATGCATTTTCATTTTCTTTATATCTCACCCTTCAGGTCTTCTGTACGAGATACGGGTCATTCATCATGAAAGTGTCTTTAAACATCATCATCCCTTTCTGGCCTGTTCTTACCTGACAGTGCAGGATTCACTGTGAGATTCACTACAGGAGCAGCGTTACAGTAGTAAATCCCAGAGTCAGAGAGAGCGACGCTCTTTATCACCAGTGATGAATCACTGTTTAATACACTGTATCTGTTTTCTGGATCAGGTCTGTGTTTCTGGGTGATTTCTCCATCTTCAGCAATGAGGATGGCTGATCTTCCTCCATCAGTGCCTTTACTCCAGATCAGTTTACCCTCATTTACACAGACCAGGATGACGTCTCTCCCCTCTGTTGCACTCTGACTGAAGATGGCTGACAAAACAAATATGAAAATATTATTTGTGATACAGATTTCCTGCTGAAATAGATCAATATTCACAACAACCTGCTGAACTGTTTTGATTTGTAATAAATACAGCGAACTATGAGACTTTAATTTACACTCTAAACAGTCATTACGCACAAGTTATACATTCTTCAGGAGGTTTCTAAGCAGATTAGATACATAATAATTCACTTTTATTTATTACTGGGGTACAAAAAATATAATGTGTTTCCTGATGGTTTTGTTGTTCAGAGTCCAGATTTAGACACTATAAAGAATATTTGGTCTCCCACTAAACACAAACTAGACTATCTGAAAATTCACACGCAAAACTTCAACAATAAGGAAATCAAAGGAAAATCTCTCCCATACTAGCTTGTTTAATGATTTGTTGTTCAGACCATTAAAAGCTTAATGTTTTGCCATTTTGGGCCCTTTTATTGTAGATCTGTGTGTGTTTTCTTTTCTGATGCTGTAATGAATCAATTATACTCTTTTAACTGGAAACTGAATAAACTAAAGGTGGTCTCTAGTTACACAGTAGTGTATATCATTTTTATGTGTATATAAATGATCACAATGCTGCTCATCTTGGCATAAACTGAACAAACATATAAAGGACAGAATATCGTCACTGTAATGCAGAAAACTCATATCTCCATTTTTGTTGTTTTCCACTTTTTTGCATAATTTGAGACGTCTGGTTCCTCTTTACACTGTGTTAAAGTATCGTGATGAACAGACCGACAGAAATGATCCAGTATGACCTGTGAAATCAATCTTTTTACATTGACTTCCATTGAAAGTTATGACTGTTTCTTCCTTCCCCTTTAAAATTACCATTTTGGAGATACAAGTTTTTCTGACAGCGACAATACATTGATTTTTCTTAATCTGGCTAAATTCTGTCCACTTACCAGCCTGAGTGGAGAGCACCAACCTACAGACCAGGAGATAAAGAACAACATCACAGTTCACCACAAACTCCAACTTCTGTCTGACACGCAGGAGAAACTACAGGGAAGCGACTGGAGGATCTGCAGTAACGTCAAAGCTCCTTATAGAAAACAGGCAAAACAGTAAGAGGCCAAACTGCTGTGAGCAGCAATGTGGAAGAGGAAGCTGTGAACATGCTGTGGTCAGACAGTGAGTGTCAGTCTTTCCTTCATCAATCTGTGGCTGATGACTACAGAGACCACTCGGGTCTCTAAATGCGGTGGGCTCTATTAAAAGCACCTACACACAAAGACAGAAAGGCTGAAGACAATCATTTCCTACTGAACCTCTTATAAACTGACTGTATATCAGGGTTACTGTAGTTTTACATTCTCATTACTAAACTAAACAATGACCAGATGATGTCATAGTTTATTTCCAGGGACCCTCCAGGCAGCACAGTTCACTGTAAGTAGCATAATGACGCTACGTTTATCTACACTGAAAACGGTGCTGTGACTTGTGAGCGTTTTAAAACCCCAGGCGCTGCAGACTCGATCTCCACCGCCCCCTCTTATTACCTTCGTGTGTTAATGTTGATAAAAACTCGTCAGATATAAAAATTACAGTGATGGTGGTGAATAATGAGGAGACAGAGCTGAACGTGTGTCCGTTTATTAGGAGGAATAACATTAGCGCGCTCGGCTAAAGCGTTTGGGAAATGAAACTGAAACTGAAGAGCAGCGACTCTGATAATCGGCAGGAAGCACTGCCACAATATAAGATTTGCTTCTGTAATATGAATTTGTGAAAAACCTTCTCTTGGCCTGTCAGATCTTAAGTTAAGACAAAAAGCTAAGAATTTTCTTTTATAGACATTTTATGAATGTCTATAAAAACCAGCTGTAGTTCCTCTGTAACACACCCAAATACACATGTTTACATTAATAATTTAATTTAAAATAAAAAATAACATGTTTTCAAAAAAGTACAGGAGGCAGATGTGGTAGATTAACAGCTGCTATTCATGCCTTTGACCACCAGGTGTCAACACTGTGCAGCATTTTGAAAAGCTTTGAGTAAAGAGCAGTTTTTCAGTTTAAAGGAAAACCTGCTGATTCAAAAAGCTTCACTTCACCATTACTAGTCTGGGTCAGGCTTAACTGAGGGTCAGAAAACTGACCCTAAACTGTGAAGCGCAGCGTCTCCAAGGGTGATGAACCACTGGCCTAACGTAGCCTACAGTGTATGTCCAAAAGTATCCAGACAGCCCTTCTAATGAGTGAATTCAGCTACTTTGAGGTGCACAGGTGTTCAGTTACACCCAATAGAATGAGACACTGGTAATGGTGACTGTAAGAGAGACGCTGAATCACACAGTGAGGTCATCAGACCTGCTGAGTGACTTTATGAAGAGCAGCAGTGTCCCATTAGTTTATACCTCCCAGTATAAAACTCAGAAGACGTGTAGGTTCACTGGTGGTTTTAGACAGGAAATAAAATGTCTATATTTGTGTTGTGGTCATTGTGACGTCTGGTTCCTATCACCACCACTGTAAAGACCTCTCAGTAAAGTCAGTAAGTTTCTCTACAGTGAACCATTTCACACCAAACCACATATTTGATTCATTATAATTGACCTTAGCTAAGAAATTTGAAGAGTTCAGCTACAAAACCTAATCATCACCATTATTAAGCTGCAGACTTGCCACCAACAGTGTAACTTACCCAAACAATCATCCCAACATTGAGGGGAATCTGAACCCTTTCTCTGTGGACAAATGGTTTAACTGGACAGAATGAAGCAGTGTAACCTTCATAAGGAATGCTATCCTATGAAAATGCTTAGATTCCAGGTCCAATTCTTTCCTGGACACACAAACAGAATCCAGGATCATCTAGGAAAATCCTGGAAAGGTGGCACTGGTTAAGTTGATTGTGAGCCTCTTTTTTACTGACAAACCTTACATTTTACCCCGTTTTTAACTCTGTCCAGATGCAATACAACCAATCTATTAATGTGTGTGTTGTGGAAGGACACATATTTCAGACAGGCCGTCTAGACAGTGGAGAATTTCTCAACCTGTAGACTTTCTGCATAATTCAGTGGTTGAAGTGTAAACAAAGCCATTCAGAGGGTCTATCAAGGCTTGGAGAGGAGGGCCGGCACAGCCACAACTGGGTACATACTTACTTATGCAGGGCGAATATGGACTAAATGTTCAAACGTTCATAGACAACAGCATTTCTTCTGAAATTAAGGGTATTAAAGGGGATGGTTTTTTTTAATTGTTAATTGTAGAGAAACTTACAGACTCAGATGTCTTTACAGTGGTGGTGATAGGAACCAGACGTCACAATGTCTACAACACAAATATAGACATTTTATTAACTGTCTAAAACCACCAGTGAACCTACACGAGTCTTCTGAGCGTTTATATGTAATGTTGATGATGGTGAAATAGTGGAAAACCTGAAAAATTAGGTTTTCTCTGGGGACTATTTTACTGTATGTATCCCTCCACCACGAATTGATTTACAACCCCATTTCCAAAAATGTTGGGACGATGTGCAAAGTGTAAATAAAAAAAAATGCAGTGGTACGCAAACTGTTTAAACCCTGTATTTTTCAAAACTAACATTTCTCAGTTTTCGCCTTTGATTTGTTGTCTTTGTACTATTTTCATTTAAATATAGGGTTTATATGATTTTCACATGATTGCATTACGTTTTCATTTACGTTTTGCACAGCATCCCAACTTTTTTGGAAATGGGGTTGTAAGAAAAATACATTTTAGGCCCAAAATCTTCTCAAAACTATGATAAAACAGTGTCTCAGGCACCAGCCAGTGTGTTTACCACCATCTCATGTAGTAACCTTCTGTGAGGGAGCTTTTAGAGGTGGACGTCTAGTTCCTATCACCACCACTGTGAACAGATCTGACTCACTAAGTTTCTCTAGAACAGAGCGTTTCACACCAAACCACTCTGACTGACTCTGTTCACATCTTACCCATTTAATTATGCAGAAATTTTGAAATTTCGTTGGATTTCCCCTTTAATCCGTGTCTGGGATCCCTCCATATATCTGCGTGCGCTCATACACGGCGCATTACGGCAGGCTTGGCCTCCACTCCTCTCTCTGACGGGGGAAGCCCTGCCCACGTGTTCCCTCTTCCTCCTCCTCCTGTCTGTCGTGCTGGGGATCACGAACTCAGCCCAAACCCCGACAAACAACGACCCGCGGCTCCGGTCAGACCCTCCGTCTGCGCGGCCCGGAGGAGAGAAGACGCTGCTGAGAGTGAGGGTCACTCGGGCGCTCCAACCTTCAGCCTGCCCAACTTTACTCTCCTGATCCACAGGGCTGCATGAAGCTGCCGCGCCTCTGCTCCTCTTCACCTCTCCAGACCTTTATGAACTCCACCTCCTCCACCTCTCCGGCCTGAGCTGCTCCCCTCTCAGCCCTACAGCTATGATCCTGGAGAAACTGTCCAGAGCAAACCTCGTCCTGCGCTCCACGGTGAGTAAACAGCAGCCCAAACTCGGGTCACGTGACCCTGTCTTTCTTTAACACTGTTGTTTTTATAGCACGTGTGCAAACACCAAATTAGATGCACTTATTAGTGTTCATAGCTCACTACTCGTGCCTAAGTACCTCTGCAGGGCACTTTGGGGCAGTAAATAGCACTAGCTGGCCTCCTGCAGAGGCACTTGTTGGGCTGAGCTGACCTTTAATGTCCTATGTCTGGACCAGAAGTCTGGAAGTTGGCCTGCAGTTGGCCTAGTGTGTGAAATCGCTGTAGGTCCCTTTTTGGGAAGCTAAATAGAGTCTTTCCCCTCCTCTGTCTTCTCCAGGCCTTGGTGAGGCAGGTCCACTCCTCCTCCTCCTCTTCCTCTTCCTCCTCTTCCCCCACCTCCGTGCCTCCTCAGCCGGTGCCCCCCCTCGCCCATACCCTGCAGAAGTACCTGACCGCCCTGCAGCCCCTCCTGCCGCCCGATGAGCTCGAGCACACCCGCAAGATGGTCCAGCGCTTCGGTAGTCCAGGAGGTCTGGGCGAGAAGCTGCAGCAGGGCTTGGAGAGGAGGGCCAGGCACAGCCACAACTGGGTATGTACCTGCTGATGGAGTGTTGATGTAGACTGGACGTCCAGGAGTTCACAGACGACAGTGTTTCTTCTGAAATCAAGGGTGTTTTTAAGATATTTCTGTTTAGTTAAGTGGTTAAGTTGTGAGTCAGAGTGGTTTAGTGTCAGAACTGTTCACAGTGGTGGTGATAGGAACCAGACGTCCACCTCTGAAAGCTCCCTCACAGAAAGTTACTACTGGAAATGGTAATGAATTCAGTGTCTAATGTATAAAACATTGTTTAATAATAGTTATGATGTAAAGTTTTGGCCTAAAAAGTGTTTAGAGGTCCATGCAGGGTGTTGTGAAGCAAAATAGTCCCCAAAAAACTGATTTCTTTCCGATTTTCCACTATTTTACCATCATTAACATCACATATAAACTCAGAAGGCTCGTGTAGGTTCACTGGTGGTTTTGGATGGTAAATAAAATGGCCCACGATTACTCATCGACTTTGAAAACTAATCCTTCTTACAGTGGATTTCCTTGAACTTTAAATTTAATTCAACTGAAAAACAAAATAAATAAAGGAAAGTGGTGCACTGGATTTACAACACAAGACGAAAGGAGAGCGTCATTGTGAAACTGAGTGCAGCACATTAATCGTTCGTCTCTATTGTCTTGTTTTCATCTGATTGATGTGCATCTAGTGTGAAGTTTTGCTCTCAGCATTCACCCGCAGTGATGTGACTGTGATGAGAGTAACATAGCAAGACAAAACAGAGGAAGCACAAGTGAGCATGTGCAGTTAATTTGAAAAATTAAAGTAAATTACACCGTTTTCATCCTACAAGGACATCAGTCCGAGCGCTGCTTCCCTGTGTTTTTCTCCACATGGGCTGGAAAAGTGAGCTCAAAGTTTTCTCCCTCTAGCAGCCCCTCTTCCTCAGCCCCTCGTCCTCAGCCCCTCAGCCAGCGCCTGTGATGTTTGTCTGGTTAGAAAATCTAAACTATCAGCGGCATCTCAGTGTGTAGAATCAAATCCACAAACTGTTTACAGACAAACAGCCCTACGAAACAGTGAACAACACAACATACACAAATATAACAATCGATCAAAACGGCAAAGACAGAAGACGGAAATAACTGACATTTGTAAACGCCTCGCTCGGTCTAAATGACCACTCCGTCCCCCGTGTTTATCAAACTGAAACGAACTCTCGGCTGTTCGGTATTATGGGATCGCCTTCGTCTAGAAGAGTACGTGCGACGCTGCCTTCAAAGTTGTTTAAAATAAGGCACCTTAGCAGACAGCTGAGTTAGGCTGCCATCCGAATGGGACAGCCTTCGTCTCAGGAGCGCGAATGCAGCCTTAAAATGCTGCCTACTTGGACAACATCCACCGAATGGGCTGTACAACTTGAGTACAGTTTTTAGGTGATGTTTTTTTTCTCTGAAAAGTTGCTGATCTTTCCTGCTGATTTATACACACTTACTGTCCACTTCACTATAAAACTCTACTGACTGTGTATAAACTAGTGTTCACTGGACACTTTATGAGCTCCACCTCCCTCATATGTACATAGACTGAGCCCTCAAAACGGGCCGCAGTTCATTAGGCAGAACCTTTAATTCCACCACTGGTCCAGTTTGCTTGTCTCATGCACTCACTGATGACTCTAAACTGTATATACTGTATATATTTTCACCATCTGCTTCATGGTGGCTGTATATAATCTTCAGCTCACTGGCTGCTTTATGAGCTCCACCAGCTTTATAATCCACTATATGACTGTACAGCTGCAAGACAAGTTTATTTATGTAGCACATTTAATACACAAAGGCAATCCAAAGTGTTTTGCTTAAGTAAAAGCAAGAAGAACATATAATAAAAATAAGAAGTAAGACAGGCTGTGTGAGTCTTTTCCAGCAGCCTGAATGAAGACCACCACCTGTAAGGTCTCACTCATTGAGCCTCCCAGAGAGTTGAATAAAACTAGGATATCAGTTCTACTCAAATCGTACACCTGAATGAATGTCAGCCGTAAGATTATACTCAAAGTAATATGTTAAACCTCTAATCCAGGGGTCGCAACCCAAATGTTACGAAGAGCGATTTTGTCCTTTCAACAAAAATCAGACCAATTTGGGAGCCACAACATTTTGTGTCCATTTATTTAAGTAATATTTTACCATTTTGGCTGTAAATATGTCTCAGTATGTGCTGATGTCATGGTATAGGCTACAAAATATAAATGTAAACGCAGACTTACTTTGCTCTGCTTTAAGCTTTAGCTCAGCTATAGACACTTTTCTCGCATCTCCAGCAGGAAACTTTTCCACAAAAGTAGAACAGTTTCTTGTAAAATGTCTCTCAACGTTCGGCTTTTTACGAGGCTGAAGTCGCTTCTCAATCGCCAGATTCTTGTTCGAATTTTCCTGTTCCACCTTAAATGGTGCACTATTTAAGGTGGAATGGGAGAATTTGAACAAGAAGCTGGTGAGTGAGAAACTGACTTCTGCTTCACGACTTTTTAGTGTTTAGTTTCAGATTAAACGTATCAGGAAACCAGCTGGAGTGATTATAAACGCAAATAAGTCCATTCATCTCCAAATTATTGATGTCCGTCTTAATTCTTTCTCTTTGCCGTTTCGTTAGCTACTAGCTGGGCGAGATTGTTGTCTGTGTTGCTATAGTGACAAGCAGTCTCCGCTGATCTTCAGGGTTCAAGGGTGAATTAGCAGTTCTACATTAACTCCAGCATTTAAGACCATTTATTGTTAAACTGTGCTGAACGATCAGCAGAGCTTTATTTTACTGTAAAGGAGGATTAATTTATTTTCTGATTCTGCTGTGGAGCCACAACAGGGCAGTAAAAGGGCCGCATTTTGCCGACCCCTCTCTAAGATATTCATCGGTCTTTGGGGAAAGAGTGTTGGCCTGTAACCAGGAGAGCTGATTAAACCTGGATAATCAGTGCTTTAGTATCTTACGCTTGAGCTTTTTCCAGCAGCCTAAGTGAGAAACACTCAACTAAGTTGTTCTTCAAAGTACAATAAAACCTCTAAGATATTAATCAGTCTTTGTGATAGCAGTGCTGGCGTTTAGCCTCCAAGAGGGTCAGTTTATCTTAGGATAAACGCCGCCTTAGTCGACAACATACAGGTTGTTGGATTAAGGCAAGGCAGGTTTATTTGTGTAGCACCTTTCATACACAGTGGCTGTTCACAGAGCTTCACACAAACACAGAAAAAAGAGCATTAAATAATATTAAATAATAAAGATTATGATGTCCTGAGATCCACCACCTCAGAAAGGCGTTTACAAAGATTAAAATTCAACATTAAAATGAATTAAACATTAAAATTAAAGATAAATAAAAATAAAATAAGAATTGAAATAGTGTTAAGATACAGTGTAGAAAACAAGAACATTTTCAGTCTAGACTTAAGACGGCTGGGTTTGTTCCAGCAGTTGGCAGCCCAGTGACTCAATGCTGCCTCGACCTGTTTGGTTCTGATTCCTGGCACTAACTAACTGACCGGTCCCGAGTGATCAGAGAGGACTTTTGGGTTCATGAACTTAAGAAGATCAGCAAAGCATTTTGGTCCAAAGCCATTCAGAGGTTTGTTTACAATTAGACTTTAAAGTCAGTTCTGTGCTTCATTGGTAGCCGGCGCAGTGGCTGGAGGATTGGAGTGATGTTCTTTTAAGCATTCTAGCAGCTGCACTTACATTTGAGCCTCTTTTAGCATTGAAGACACTGAGAGAAAGAAACGGACTGGAATAATAAAGGGCTAAAACGATGCTGCACTAGCTGAAATATATAAAATCGAAAGTTCGTACAGGCAAAATAAAACACATAAAAGGAAACTAAAGACTCAGATTATCTTATTAAGGTGTGATGCTAAAAATAAAGTGCAGGTCTTTGAGCTCAGAGACGAGAAATGTTTCTTAAGCTGGATTTTAATATCACTACATTTGAGAAGTGTTTATAAGGAGCCCCGGGGGGACGGAGGTAAAAAAAAAAAAAATTAATTCAAGAGAACGTTTCGCTGTTCGTACGCACTTTTTTTATTCGTGGTTATGATTTCTTAATTCATTCCCGTGATTAACAATTCATTCTTTCGTTTTCTTTTACTTGTGCGCGTTTTCTTCACTTTGTGGGAACGATTTTTAAATAATACTTCTCTTCATGCTCATATTTTCCTTATAATTGAACGCACATTTTTTTGTTATTAAATATGTTCAGTGTATTTTGTTTGTGCAGAAATAAAAAAATATGCCAATTAAGAACCAATTAAGAAATCGTGACCACGGATGAAAGAAAACGTGTGTTTTGAGTTTGTTGACGTTGATCGTTTCTTCCTGTAATTGTATGTCGGCCCTGAACACCGCAGCTTGAGTTGTGAGCAGAAACAGGGCTAAGCAGCTGCGCTTCAGCTTCACCTCTGTTAAATATGATCTTTAGAAAGTACAGTTTAGTGAAGGTTGTGGTTGTAGTTTATTGTCTTCACCACCAGCGAATGATGGATCTGTGGGCCGTTCGCTGTGAAGAGGAGCTGCAGTTTCCTCACAACCCCCCAAATCAAAATCAGACCTGATGAGCATCTCCGTTCATCTTCTCATCAGTCTAACACCTCAAAACCCGTCAGACAGTCTCAGCAGACAGGAGCCGTTAGGTACTGCAGCACAGGACGAATAAAACGGCCTGTATCTACGATGTTTATTTTGTTTGCACACAAATTGAAAAAAAGGAAAAACGTGTTCAGATAAAAGGAAAACATGAGCGTGTTTAAAAAAATGAGAGAACAAATAAAGATTTTGTGATCATGAATTAAAAAAAACGGGTGGCGCAGTGGGTAGCGCTGTCGCCTCACAGCGAGAAGGGCCTGGGTTCGGTTCCCGGCCGGGTGACCAGGGTCGTTTCTGTGTGGAGTTTGCATGTTCTCCCCGTGTCTGCGTGGGTTTCCTCCGGGTACTCCGGTTTCCTCCCACAGTCCAAAAACATGCAGTTAAGCTGATTGGACGTGCTAAATTGCCCCTAGGTGTGATCGTATATGTATGTCTGTCTGTCTGCCCTGCGATGGACTGGCGACCTGTCCAGGGTGTATCCAACCTTCCGCCCAATGACAGCTGGGATAGGCTCCAGCACCCCACCGCGACCCAGAAGGATAAGCGGTTTAGATGATGTGTGTGTGTGTGTGTGTGAATTAAAAAAAACGTCGAATCAAAGAAAACGTGTGCATGATTAAAAGATAACGCATGATTAAAAGATAACGAGGAAACAAATTGTTAATCATGGGAACTAAGAAATTGTGACCACGAATAAAAGAAAACGTGAGTACGAACTGCGAAACGTTCACTCAGATTGGTTATTATTGTTCCCTGCGTCCCTCCGGGGCTCCGTACACCTAAGATCTTCTGTCAGTTTGTTCCAGTTGTAGCAGCGAAACAGCTAAACGCTGCTTCACCATGTTTAGTTTGGACTCGATTAGCTGTCCTGAGTCCGTGGATCTGAGAGACCTACTCGGTTTATATTCTTTAAACAGATCAGAGATGCGTTCTGGGTCAGAACCATTCAGTGATCCATTTCAGCAGCACTTTAGAACAGTTACAGAGTAGATCTTAAACTCTGGCAGCAGCATTTTGAATGAGCTGCAGCTGTTTAGTGGTCTTTTAGGAAGCCCAGTTAAGAGACCATTACAGTGGTCCACCATACTGGAGATAGAAGACTGTGCAGACTGTAGCCCGTGTGTTGATGTATAGTATATCAGCCCCCATCTGCCCCATTCATCACTGGTCAGTTTCTGACCACAAGACGGCTGTTGACTGGGTGTTATTGAGGTTGGTGGATCCCAAGTAATACTTTATGATTCTAACAAAAAACTTTATATTAAAATGTGAATAATTAACAGGAAAATGAATGAGTTACATTGATGAAGGAGGGAACATCATGTACATTTGGAATGGCTTAAAGTGTATCTCTCTCTCTCTCTCTCTGTCTCTCTCTCTCTGTCTCTTTCTCTCTCTGTTTATGTATTTCTCTCTGTCTCTCACTGTCTCTCTCTCGCTCTCTCTCTCTCTCTCTCTCTATGTCTCTGTCTCTGTTCCTCTCTCTCTCTCTCTCTCTCTCTCTCTATCTCTATGTCTCTCTCTCTATCTCTATGACTCTCTCTCTCTCTCTCTCTCTGTCTCTGTTTCTCTCTCTCTCTCTCTCTCTCTCTCTCTCTCTCAGATAACAGACTGGTGGGTGCAGTGGGCGTACCTGGAGAGCCGTCAGCCTTTGGCGGTCCACTCCAACCCGGCCATCTCTCTGCCCAGACAGGACTTCAGTGACTGGAGGGGTCAGCTAGTGTGAGTCACCGTCTCAGTCTATACGTCTGTACATACTAGAGCACACATGCAGATCTGTTCCTGCACATTCCTCTCTAGAGGACGGTCATATGGGTGGCTGATGTGTATTGAGGGACCAGACAGTTTAGATTATTTGGAATCTGTACTCGTCTCGCACTCTCAATTGTCCGTCTGCGTCGTTCTGTCGTCAGCAACATGCCCACATAAGGAACTGTGGGTCCAAGCAGTTTAGCTCTACGGGAAAAATGAATAGCGTTTTTGAAAAATGTCCCGAAGCTGATTTTGTCACCGGAATTATCTGATCGTTAAGTAGATGAAATGCAAATAATGCTACATTCATGCTACATGCAAGCCAGCATTCCTGTGTCTTAAATTGACACCATTAAGTTATATGGAAACAAGGCTACACTGTTATGTACATCTTTATATAATAACAGTAGCTGCTCAAACTGTAGGCTGTAAATAAAAACCTTTGTTTGTTTTGCTTAATGCTGTTCATTTGATTATTCCAGCTGGAACGTGATGATAAAACTTTAAATGACACGATGATGGCAGTTTACTGTTGGGGTGTGTGTTATTAAAGTACAGAAATATCCAAATTCATCTTTGTTTACTTAACTGGGTATTTGAATGAAGGTATGTGTGGTTTGTAGGGCTGGCCTTAACAGCATTTTACAGGCTTGGAATACTTGGTTGGTATTTCTGAACAAATACTCAAATACTCAAAATCAGCCTTAAAATCAGTAACATTTATGTTTCATAAATGACCCATGATTTTAGGCCTGTTTGTTACTGCAGTTCTTAATGTATCCATTATGTATATTTCTTGAGTATTGGAAAGCAACACTGTTCGTGGCCCAGTTTAGCTCAGTCACAGCCCTGTTGCGCTTGGTTGTGGCTAGGTTTAGCTCAGTCATAGCCAAGTGTAGCTCAGTCGTGGCCCAGTTTAGCTCACTCATAGCCCTGTTAAGCAGTCATAGCCCTGTTGCGCTTGATTGTGGCTAGGTTTAGCTTGATGATAGCCCAATGTAGCTCAGTTGTGGCCCAGTTTAGCTCAGGCCCGGCCTTTTGCGCTTGGTTGTGGCTAGGTTTAGCTCGATGATAGCCCAATATAGCTCGGTCATGGCCCAGTTTAGCTCACTCATAGCCCTGTTGTTCTTGGTTGTGGCTAGGTGTACCTTGATTGTAGCCCAGGGTAGCTTGGTCGTAGCCCTGTTCCGCTTGGTTGTGGCTAGGTTTAGCTCGATCGTAGCCCAATGTAGCTTGGTCATGGCCCAGTTTAGCTCACTCATAGCCCTGTTGCGCTTGGTTGTGGCTAGGTTTAGCTCGATCGTAGCCCAGTGTAGCTCGGTCGTGGCCCAGTTTAGCTCAGTCATAGCTCTATTGCACTTGGTTGTGGCTAGGTTTAGCTCAGTCTAGCCAAGAGTAGCTCAATCTTGGCCCAGTTTAGCTCAGTAGTAGCTTGGTTGTGGCTAGGTTGAGTTGGACTGTAGCCTTGTTGAGCGTAGTCGTAGCCCGGTGTAGATTGGTTATGGCTGGGTTGAGCACAGAACTAAAAACAAAAAGTGTGTTAATTTTGGTTTTATTTTTCCGACCAAAGTTGCCAAAACACGACTGCAGTGCCTGGTGACGACATAATTAACACAAAAATACTAACTTGTGCAAAACTGTTGCAAAACTGATGAAATGAGTGTTTTAGCTTTGTTCGGACTTTGTTCAGTGGAATCAAACATGTCCATGTACTGGCTAATGAAGGAAGAACACCATGAAGCTACAAGGAACTGACCTATGAAGGAGCTGCCTAACTGTGTAATTGTGTTGTTTGCAATGAAAGCAGCAATAAATCGTCTTAAAAATCTGAGGTTGTGGTTGTAAGGAATGGTTGCTGCTTTGTCTCCTCCAGGTTTGCAGCGAAGCTCATTTCTGCAGTGCTGGACTTCAAGGCCCGAGTGGACAGGTTCGTTCTGCTTCTCCTTCCACATTATTTTTAGCAGTTTGAATGAAATAGAGGGAGATTTATGTATCTTATTTGTGAGCGTTGGGTCCTCTTACTAATTTCAGGTTCTCTCGAGTACACAGTGCTGTCTGCATGTGTCTCTGTTTGTCAGCAGTAAATACTGAGAGATTTCATCACCTTTCTAAATTTAACAAACACTTTATCAGCCACTGGATCTGTATATAGCTCACCTTATCTCTCGCTCTCCCTCCCTTTCTCTTTGTCTCTCTCTCTCTCTCTCTTTCTGTTCTCTCTCTCTTTCACTCTCCCTCTATGTCCCTCTACCTCACTCTCTGTTCTCTCTCTCTCTCTCAGTGGTCGTCTGCCTGTAGAGTACATGCGTGGTAGGCCGTTGTGTATGGAGCTGTATCCTCAGCTCTTTTCGTCCTGTCGCGTTCCTGGACCGAAGCATGATCACGTGGTCCATTACGGCCGGCCCCGTCGTGGCCCCACCCACATCACCGTCGTCCGCAACTACCAGGTGAGTCTGGCCTCCCTCAGAGAGGAACGGAAACAAAGGAGAATCAGAAACAGAGGGAAGTTCTCCACTCTCAGCTTCTGCACTGGACAATTTAGCGTAATTTTCTGCCCAAATTCACTGGAATGAGCTTCAATACACTAAACATCTAAAGCTGCTCCTCCAGCGTTTCCTCTGAAATGAAGGGCATCAATAGGGAGTTCGTTCCTCCTCTGCTGCAGTAACAGCCTCTACTCTTCTGGGAAGGCTTTACACTAGATGTTGGAACATTGCTGTGAGGATTTGATTGAACATTAGTGAGGTCAGGTACTGATGGTTGGATGGTCCACTGCTCCACAGCCCAGTCCTGGGGAGCTTTATACTCCTCTAGCTGACACCTGGCATTGGGCATGGTGACCTTAGGCTCATGTGCAGCTGCTCCAGAGCGTCCCATTCTGTTGGTCACTGCTTTTCTGTGGAGATTAAAGAAGCTAATCAACTGTATCGGCAATAGATGTACCTTAAAGTTGCCTCATTTACTCAGTTGAAGAGGTGCCTGAATACTTTTGAACCTCCGACGCTTACATACCCTTCACTGCGACTGCTGGTTTCAGCTGTTTGTGAATACAGTTCCAAGCGCACACTGATGGATAAGTAAATCATGCCTACAGTGCCAGTGCTTCTTATGTAAGGTTTGCAGTGCCAGAGCTTTGTGTTGTTTGTATCAGTAGAAATGCCCAACAGCCTCAGTGCCTCAACAGAAGAGGCTGATGGGTCCAGAAATTAGACGGGTACACCCAGTGACGTGTTTTGGCTGTGGTGAGAGTGATACCACAGATTGGAATAACATGTAGGAACATTCCCCAAATTTGTCTAAATGTTTGTATAATTAAATGGTTAAAAAATAAACAGTCATTCGTAGCGGTTTAGTATGAAATCGTGCATTGTAGCATTCTGAATTGTTCTTAGTGGTGGTGATGGGAACCAGATGTCTGAAGAGTTTCATGCCTCTAAAGCTCCCTCACAGAATGTTATTACATAAAAAGACTCCCTGATGTCTGAGACACACTGAATTAATGACATTGTGACCTCTGGTTCCTATGACCAGCACTGTAAAGACATCTAGAGCGGAGCATTTAACAACTTTCGCACCTCAAAAAAAATATACAGGGAGTTTGAAACATGATGGAATCCCCCTTTTACTCCTCTGAAACCCCTTTAGCTGCATCATCTGGAGTAAATTAGTCAAAAAGGCCTAATTTGGTCTAATGTTGGTGTGTTGTGTGTAGTTTTTCCAGCTGGACGTGTACAACAGTGATGGCACTCCGCTCACTCAGGGTCAGATTCACGCTCAGCTGTGCCGCATCCGCTCTCAGTCATGGAAGACTGATAAAGAGCCCATGGGCATCCTGACCAGCGAACACCGGCACACCTGGGGTCAGGCCTACAACCGCCTGCTGCACGGTAAACACAAAACATACCCACACAAACTCAGCAGCACTGCCTCCACCTCAGCCACCTTCACTGATGTCTCACATACACAGGGGGAAGTTTACTTTTCATTTATTATGGTAATGATATTTAAATTAGCAAGCAAACAAGTGTCACTCACTGCCGCCCTCTATAGGTGTTATTAACCCTGTCAGGTCAACAATGTTGTCATTGAAGGACGTCGTAGATGATAAAATGTTTTGTGAAAGCTGCTAGAGACGTACTTTCATTTTGCCTGGAAGGGTGGTGCTGTTCATGAACACAGCATCTGATTGGTCTGTGAGTCAGGAACACAGTCTCTGATTGGTCTGTGAGTCAGGAACATAGTCTCTGATTGGTCTGTGAGTCAGGAACACAGCCTCTGATTGGTCGACGAGTCAGTAACAAAGTCTCTGGTTGCTGAGTCAGTAACAAAGTCTCTGATTGGTCTATGAGTCAGAAACACAGCCTCTGATTGGTCAACAAGTCAGTAACACAGCATCTGATTGGACTTTGAGTCAGGAACGTAGCCTCTGATTGGTCTGTGAGTTAGGAACACAGTCTCTGATTGGTCTATGAGTCAGAAACAAAGTTTCTGATTGGTCAGCAAGTCAAAAACAAAGCCTCTGATTGGTCTATGAGTCAGAAACAAAGCCTCTGATTGGTCGACAAGTAAGTAACAACCTCTGATTGGTCTGTGAGTCAGAAACAAAGCCTTTGATTGGTCGACAAGTCAGGAACACAGCCTCTGATTGGTTGATGAGTCTGGAATTCAGCCTCGGATTGGTCTACAAGTCAGGAAAACGGCCTCTGATTGATCGACGAGTCAGGAACACAGTCTTTGATTGGTCAACGAATCAGGAACGCAGCCTCTGATTGGTCTACGAATTAGGAACACAGTCTCTGATTGGTCTTTGAGTCAGGAACACAGTCTCTGTTTGGTCAACGAGTCAGGAAAACAGCCTTTGATTGGTCACCAGACTCAATCCAAGGCGTCAGTCATGCTAACGGCAACAATAACTCTTTTTAACACAGGGAAACTGATAAATAACCACAGAAGACATTCAGTGTTGGATGTCATTATGGACTTATTTTACAAAGTCTCCAAAAAGACAGAATTACAGAGCTGCTGAATAGGAAAGGAATGCACTGGAGCCAATAATGAAACAAAATTCTAGCCTTCTGGGAAAAAAATAAAAAGAGAGATTTATTCTTTTATGTATGACATCCTTTAATGTCACATACGACATCATCGGTTAACATGCTGTTCAACTCAGGTGGGCTTTGCTAATTAATCCATAAGTTCAGTCCAGTGCATAAGAGCAGGGAAAGCACTGGACTGTGCAGAACTGTGACCCTCCGCATATTTATTAGACGCTCTGCTCTCTCCTCTCTTCAGACAGGATCAATAAGGAGTCGGTGAGGCTGATTGAGAAGGGCATCTTCACGCTGTGTCTCGACTCCCCCGTCATGAGGATCTCCGATGAGAAGTACGAGAGCTGCTGTTCTCTCACTGTTTTCTCAAACATCTGCTGGACGAGTACTTTGAGCTTGATTGTGGCTTCAGATTTGATTGATTTGCTGTGTTTCACGGATGATTGGCAGGTATGCAAGTCGAATGGCAGCTCAGATCCTGCATGGAGGAGGAACTTATTCCAACAGCGGGAACCGCTGGTTTGATAAGACAGTACAGGTGGGCGGAGCAAAATGTAGCCTTTTATAACTAAGAGTAGTGTTGTGACTGTCATCTGTATTTAAAGTGAACTTAGTTAGCTCTGTTTAATTGGATGTAGTGCAGTATGTGATCTCTCTCTCTCTCTCTCTCTCTCTCTCTCTCTCTCTCTCTCTCTCTCTCTAGTTTGTGGTAGGCGAGGATGGTTCTTGGGGTCTCTTGTATGAGCAGGCCACGGCTGAAGGCCCTCCAGTATCAACACTGCTGGACCACGTTCTGCAGTACTGGTACATACACACACACAAATATACTCATTCCCACACATTTGTATTACTATATTTGTGAGGATTTCCATTTACCCATGTAATACTGTAACTTAGTAATGCTAGACCTAAACCTCACCTCAGCCGTAAGTAACTAAAGGGCAGTCTAAGGGATCAGCTACAGTTCCTCACATCCACAATATGTTCATGCTTTCCTGTCTTCATGGGGACTGAAGGGCTAAAGGTGATTAGACTTAATCTGTGTACAGTCAGAGGACAGCCTAACCGTGTCCAGGACCGGGATGTCAGGTTCACGCCTGGTTTCCCCAGTTTACGGTTGTTTTGACGCAGGTGTAGTGGTAGTCCTGCAGGGTGTGAGTGAGAATCCTCCCTGACTTTACACTTTAATCCAAGATTAGACTTAATCTGTGTCTGAGAAACAGACGGGCCTGTTATTAGCAGAGATTCTCACAGTGAGGACTGAGATGCCTCTCTGTTTCACTGTCTCTCTGTCTCTGTCTCTCTGTCTGTCTCTCTCTAGTAAGAAGACTGATACAGTTAGAGATCCTCTCATTCCTCTGCCGATGCCAAAGAAGCTCTACTTCTACATTGACCCAGCGATCAAATGGGACATTGAGATGGCCAAACAGAATCTGGACATGTGAGTTTACATCACTGTGACCAAACATACTGTATCTTTCACTTTCTCCTTTGTAACTATTTATATATATATATATATATATATATATATATATATAATATGCACACGCACATCTATTTAAATCCAAGTCATCATTTATAGGGTGCTTTCTATTGGGAGACGTCTGACCCCTAAATTTACATACATACATACATACATACATCATCTAAACCGCTTATCCTTCTGGGTCGCGGTGGGGTGCTGGAGCCTATCCCAGCTGTCATTGGGCGGAAGGCAGGATACACCCTGGACAGGTCGCCAGTCCATCGCAGGGCAGACAGACAGACATACACATTCACACACACACTCACACCTAGGGGCAATTTTAGCACGTCCAATCGGCCTGATTGCATGTCTTTGGACTGTGGGAGGAAACCGGAGTACCCAGAGAAAACCCACGCAGACACGGGGAGAACAGACAAACTCCACACAGAAATGACCCTGGTCGCCCGGCCGGGAATCGAACCCAGGCTATTCTTGCTGTGAGGCGACAGCGCTACCCACTGCGCCACCGTGCCGCCCCCCTAAATTTACACTTACGCCTAAAATCTTTATGCTTATATTTTTTCAATTTTTTAAAAATATCTTTTTATTTCTTTTAGGTAAAGTTAAAAGGTTTAGATTTATTATGAGATTCATTTTTAAATAAAAAAAAATTCCCATGTTTTCATGTCACAGCCGAAACACAACGAGTTTTAGTTCCTAGGTGGAGCCTTATTTTAGCCACGCTCCTGCATTTTAAGCAGGAAGTGAGGCTGCATCCCTGTCCCTCATGGCCACATGATGAGAAGTTAGATCCCATTGATTTGAAGTAAATGTGTCCCAAAGTCTGAAAATCAGTGTAGAACATTAATAATTGTCACTACCGAAACACGTTTTCTACAGTTAAGTAAACTTTTTTTGTGTTTTAATAAAAATGTTATGGTTTTCTGTGTGAACAGCTCTTCAAAGCTGTGTTTGCTGGTCATGTACTGACTAGTGTTTTTGAGTTCTACTTAAAATGAGCTAAAATTGTAACAACTGAAACCGTCACTACTGAAACATTTGGTAAAGTTTTGGTAGTGTTATGATTGTTTTGGTAGAGACAAAATGTAATGCTCAATCATTTAATTTAATAAAATAAAGGTCACTAAGGAATAAAGTCAGTCAACACAAAAGGATGTTAGTCTAAAATAAAGTCCAAAAAGCGTTTTCAACCGACTTTCAATCAATTCGGATGAATTTATAGAGGGGGGTGTTTGTCCGTGTGTGTGTGTGTGCGTGTGTGTGTGTGTGTGTGTGTATAAATATGTAAACTACACATGCACAAATTAATAAGTGGTCCTAACCCTCTAAGCAGTTTTCAAGCCTTTGACTTTTGCTTAATACTGTTTGCTGTAACAAGTATATATTGTGTTGTTTTGCCATATTGTGAGCTGACATTGAAACCATTGATGCTCTGTCCTCAGCCTCATCAACGACCTGGACATCACCTGCTTCAACTTCCAGCGCTTTGGGAAGGAGTTCGCCAAACGGCTCCGCCTCAGCCCCAACTCCGTCATCCAGGTGGCCATCCAGCTGGCCTACTACAGGTCAGTTCACTCCCTCCTCTTAACAGGTAGAGTTTGGTCTGGTGTCTAGTACACGTCTGCATAGATCAAATACAGGATGCAGTTTTGAGCTACAGCAGCAAAGCAGGTTCAAGATGATGTGAGTAAAATTGGATTTAGATTTGATCGATACTTTAAACTGATATTCGATGACGTGTTGATTAAACTGTTAAGGCTGTTCAGGCGACACTGCATTAAAATATCTGCATCTTATTCATTTCACTGCACAGAGATTAGTGCTGCAGTTCTCTGTGTTCTAATCCAGATCTACTTCCAGCTTCTACAGTTTATGCATGTTTACTTATCAGCATCAGCAGATATGCCTACGAAAAGGATCTGATATGGGGAATTTCTCAGTGTGTTTGGTTTGTATTGTCAGAGTGCACAGCGACGTGTGCGCTGCGTGCGACATCGCCTCCCTCCGAATGTTCCGGGGGGGACGCACCGACTACATCCGCTCCCCCACCAATCAGATGCTGAGCTTCATCCAGGCCTTCGACAACCCCGCCGTCTCTGTGAGTGACACCGCAGAGAGAAAATGAGGAGAAAATACAAACGTAAAGTGTGACATTCACATCAACAACCATGACAGATGCTCAAACTGTATGTATGTGTGCACATTTTCAGAGAGAAGCCAAGATTGAGCTGCTCAGAGAGGCTGTGGAGGCGTACAGTCAGCTCACAGATCAGGTAACGGCTAAATTCTTATCTTCCTCCTAAAATTGTGTCTATTTTTGTAACAAAATATCCTTTACACAAAACAGTTCTAAGCCCTGGACTGTGTATTGTTTTGTTTTTTGGTCCTCTGCCCACCACTAACATTGCATTTAGCCCCAAGATTTGTAAAGAAGTATAGAGAGAGCGGTCATTTATCGCTGATCTGTGAATGAGCTCACTGAAATCACTTGTTGGACTGTCTGAACTGTGGTCCAGGGTAATGTTTTAAGCCTGTTAATTGTCCATGTGGTTTTGTTGATCAGGCGCTTCACGGGCATGGCATAGATCGCCACCTGCTGGGCCTGAAGTTGCAGGCCATCGAGGAGGGACTGAGCGTGCCCAGAATGTTCATGGACACGGCTTATGGGCTGGCCACACACTGGAAACTCAGAACAGGACAGGTAACCAGCACTCATATAGACAGTGAGGTGGAAACCAGCGTTCAGACGCTTTTGTGTTTGTTATTTAATAAATTTCCAGTGCGTGTTTCCAGTAACAGACTTCATCTCCTGTGCTGATAGATGATGGGTGTGGTTAAAAGCTCCACTGCTGTTCTATATGTTACTCAGTACTGAAGTCTGAAGCTGAAAGATTTATATCTAGTTATTTTTTCTATCGAAATCGCAATTTAAGTGCAGTTTTGAAAAAGAATATATCCTACAGTATCAACAACGTCTCAAGTTTTAAGTGGTGAAATTTAACCTAATACCACATCCTGTGAACTGCCTGTAGATGAGTCAGACCAATCAGAGGCAGCCAAACCCCCATGCGTTGTGACATCACAACCACAACATACTGGCTGTCTGGCTCACTACATTCAGGGGTCGAGCCGTAAGCTAGAAAAAGTGGAATATTCTGACCTTATTGGCCAAAAAAGCCTGAACTTAAAATAAAAAAGCCTGAACCTTAATTTAGAGAAAATAATCTCAATTTAAATCACAATATTAGTCAGAAAAATCACCAGTAGATGTTTTCCCCAAATCGTTCAGCCCCACTGAAGTCGGATACTTTAGTACTTCTACTCAAATTGGTCTTCAAGAAGGTACTTTACTTTTACTGCAGTCATTAATTTTACCCACATATTAATACTTTAACTCAAGTGTGGATTTAGGTTACTCTGCCCACCTCTAAGCTCACTGCATTACAAAGTAACGATACGCGAACTTCACAATACGATATATATTGTTGTTTTTGCATTGCGATATATTTTTGATACAGAATAAGAAAAGAAATGCTGACATAACTTCAACATTTCTTTATGTATTTATTTATTTATTTGAAATTCCCAAAATGTTGTTGTTGTTGGTGTTGTTGTAATTTCCACTGACGTCTCTAAAAGACAACAGTTCTTGTTGAAAGGATGACTGGCTCAAGTCATTTTCTTAGAAGAGGAGGAGAAGAAAAGAAAAATAAATTAAAGAATATAAACAAAGTGCAATATCTATATAAAAGTAAACGAAAAATGTGAACTATGAGGTACATCTGAATATTCAATGACCTGAACACAACAAGTTCATTGACATTCTGATCTTGTGTTTATATGGTGTGGCTCTGACCTTCTGTCTGATATGAGCGAGAGGAGATTTTCTAACATCACTCACAGCAAACGGAAGCATCCAAAACCGGATAGAGGTGCAAATCGGATGTATTAACATCCCTACAGAGCCACTCATTTCTTTAGCCCGTTCAGAATCGGTGCTCAATGGCTGCTTGAATCCTGGATGGAGAAGTCGCTGCCGAAACTTTGCCCTCGAGGCTGAAATTGGCCTCTAATTCCCAATTTTCCTGGAAAATTCGAACAAGAAGCTGAACTTCAGCGCCGCGTTATCTCCTCGCCCTGGTTACTGACACATTTGGGTGACATCTTCACAAATGAGTTAGCACAGTTGGGGTATTCGCCCAGTTTACCACTCTTTGTTCATCATTACTGTCCTCAACTGGGAAACCACACCAAACAGCTTGGCTAATTAACCATCCAAGGTGGGCCAATCAAAGCAGCTTGTTCCAGTTCCAAGAGCTGCACAGTGGAGTGTTTATCTTTGTGATTATCACTTTTCGGAATGGAAAACTTTCCTCTTATCCCACAGTTTATAGCATGAAATCTGACCGTATTGGATTTACAGCGCGTATCATCTCACACCTCCCATATAAAACAAATGTTTATTAGCATACGTAGCCGCTACAAAGCATCCACATGCATTGTTGTTTGTTTTGATAATGGTCAGTAATGGCTGCAAAGCTCCCTCTGTTCTTTCAGTCATCATTTTTGATCATGTTGTTATTAACTATCAGCCTGAAACACACCAGGAGCTGCAGAGGCTCCAACCATTCAGAAAGAATTTTTTTATCTGATTGTGCATTTTTTTTTCTTTGCGTTCAACAAATATTCAAATGTGGAATTTTATCTTGACCATCCTGCTGGCAGGGAAAACGCAAGTGGAAATCACGCAGCATATCGTAGCTGTCAGAACAAAACCTCGCATCTCCAGAATGGAGACGATGAATGGAAGTTAATGGAACGAATTATTTTTGTTAGTCGAGTAATTTTGGAGCTTTTTTATTCATGAAGTTTTAACACACTGTAAAGGGCAGCTGACTCAGATTCAGTTAAACAAGTACAAAACGACAGAAAAGGAAATGCAAGGGTTTGTCCTGACAGCAGTGATGTGTCTCTGTGCTTGATCCATACTGCCGCCTAAATAATGCAGTCAGTCATTTCGGTTACAGCGTGGGTGTTTGCATGTGCATGCAAGGGGACGCTATAGTCAAAGTAATAGGCCTCTTATGAGTCACTCCATCAGACGCCTGTTACACCCCGTGAAGTTCAAGCTCTTCATTCTAAAACTTTATAACCCAAGTATAAAATATCCTCTAAAATCCACAGAAACTTTGATTTTAGTTAAATGTGGTGTCTCTGCACCTAAAACAGACACATAAAGAATGACAGGAATCCATTAACAGAAACATGTTTACAGTAATGATGACAGTACATGAGGCTTAGTGAGTCCAACGGTCTGAAACTGCCCAAACAGGTCAGAGACTCTTTCAGATGCGGACGCGTGAAGACGCCAGTGAATGTGTGTTTGTTTTGCTTGCACCAGCACTCGGTCTAAGTGGGAAGGGATTGGCTGTGTGAAGCGTTGTACAGTAAACGTCTGTAGAGAGCAGCTCAGTCAGGCTTTCTTCTGAAATGAGGGGTGATAATGGGGAGACACAGCTCAGTTCATTCATTTAGCACCAGTTGTGCATGAATATCAGAGCACAAAGATCATTGGAAGATGTTGAAGTAGCACTGCTGAACTCTCGATTTAGAAGGTATTGTTGATGTTGAAATGATAGGTAGACCGAATAACGCTAACATAAGATAAGATAATCCTTTATTAGACCCACAATGGGGAAATTCTCAGTGCTGCAGCAGCAAAGGGACAGCAAGACACTCAAGAAAAGAAAAGAAGTAACAAGAAGAGAATTAACAAGATTTACAGTTTGTTGCTTGTTAATAAATATATATATATATATATATATATAAAGTAACAATATAAAGAATTATAAATAAATAAACGCAACAATACTAATAATAACCATTAATAAGTGACACTGCTAACTGAAAACGTTTGCTCACTGAACTGAAAAGAACAACACACCAGCAAGCATTTCGTGCTGGTCTACGCTGGTTTTTGCTGGTTTATGCTGGTCTGGATCTGGTTTAGCTGCACACCCCAGCATTGTCATGCTGGTTGACCAGCATACCAACACCCAAATCACAACATGCTGTCACAGCAAAGTCTTGTATCTCCACAATGGTAACTTTACAGGAGAAGGAAAAAACATACTTTACTTTCAATGTAAGTCAATGGAACCAGACTTTTTTCCAAGTCATTTCGGGCCGTTTCTTTTGGTCCGTTCATCATGAAATTTACACATAATGTAAAGGACAACAGGCATTTTCAAAATATGTCGAAAACTGGCAAAAATGGAGATGCAAGGTTTTGTTCCAAGAGCAGCGATTATGCTGGTTTTGCTGATGACGAGCCAGTCTGTGCTGGTCTATGCTGGTTTTTCTAGCAGGCGAAGGTGACATTCATGCACTGCTAGCCTCCATGCAGTGGTAACACTGCTAATGTTAGCCTTTTTTGTCTGAATGGGACCTTTATTCCCAATGTTCTGCGTTCCCTCAGCTTGGTATATAATACACCATACCTCAATAAATACACTCAGGAAACCTGTAAACAGGTCCCTGAGCTCATGATTAGGGTCATTGGGTGATTTGTACCCTCATTTGGGTTAGCCTCAGTGAGCTAATCAGCAAGCTAAGCAAACTTTGTAATTCAGACAGTTTAATTTAAGACTAAAGACAATTTAATTTAAGAACGTAAAGTGTAGAACACATATATTAAATAACATTTGATGGGAGTATTGAATAATCGCTTTGTCCGTCCTTTTGTTGTTGCTAGACGTAGCCGTTAGCTTGCTAATTAGCAAGCTAGCAGAGTGAAGTAACAAACCTGCCTCAGCAGGAATTTATAACTGATAACTGAGCAGTTTAGTACATTAAACTCAGTTTTAAAGTGGCAAATTAAATGTCATGGATATGAAGTAATAAGTAATGGACAGTAATGTTGCATCAGAACTCAGTGATGTCTGGGCAGAACTTGAGGAACCATGATTGATGCAACTGAAACATGGAGCTGTGGGAGCACAGAGCTGTTTCCAAGAAAATGTGGAAACACTTTACTGTGGGACAGTGTTCATAAGGCTGCATGATGCCTACATAAGCCCTCCATGACAACTGAAACCTGCATAAACAATTATAAACACTTATTCAGACAGATGTCATTTGTCATAAAGATTGCATGATGTAACATGATTATTTATTTTGTTTGACATTACCTTTTCAGTGAAGTGATGTAGACGTTGTTGCTCAGTGTATGTCACAGTGGTGTGACAGAGCTTGGCGTGGTTCTTAAGTTTCATTTGACCATTTATAACAGTCACTCTGTCACATCGTCAGCATTGTGATAGACACTAAACTGCAAACTGCTGTCTCATTTCACCCGAATGGGTGTCATGACAACCCAGTGTCAGAAATAATCGGTCACCTGACGCAGGTGTTTCATAGACTTGACATCAGAGTTGACAAAAGCAGCTTTTATCCCTGCTGGAAAAAACAGCCAAGATCAGCATGCATTTCAAGCGGGTCTGAGCTGGTCTGGTGCTGATTTAGCTGGACCACCCCAGTATGGTCATGCTGGATGACCAACATACCAGCACCCAAATCACTGAACATATGCTGGTTTTGCTGGTGACCAGTCATGCTGGTCTATGCTGGTTTTTCTGGCAGGGATACTGAAGTAGGCCTTTATAAATGTTTATGTAGGTTTCTGTCAGTGGTCATGAGGGACTTGTTATGGACGTGTCGTGTGGTCTTATGAACACCTACCGTAAAGCCTTACTGAAAATAACACTGAGGGAACTTATGACCCTGGAAAACAACACTGTTTCCAAAATTACAAAGAGGAAGTGCGAGAGGACCAGAGAAAACGTAAAGATGACCAACCGGTTCCACTTTTTTTGGGAATATCAGCTTCAGCTAAACCAAACAATGTAAATGTTTGTGCTTCCATGCACTGCTAGCCACACTGGCGTTTCCCTGGCAGAAAAATCCCCTGTATTTCACATGTGAAGGATGCAAAAACACATTTTACAAGCAGTCAGATGTTTTTTCACATTTGTTTATTCACATGTGACCTTTTTTCTGTAGGGATTTAAGCAGAACCACTGATTTCTGCCCCGACTCACTTGTTTGCAAACCTGTTTTCTCACCCCAAAACCTGATTTTGCCCGCAGGTTCCCACTAACACGGACAGCGTGATGTGTTTTGGGCCGCTGGTTCCGGACGGCTACGCGGTGTGCTACAACCCGCAGCCGGACCACGTTCACTTCTCCGTCACGGCCTTCAACTGCTGTGAGGAGACCAACGCAGAGAAGCTGGCCGTCACCCTGGAGAGCACCCTCTGTGATATACAGGAGCTACTGCACCCTCCCGCGTAGCGCTGTGGTGGTCTCGAACTTGACTGATTGACCTGAAGGGCTCGATGAACCTTTAAGAACCTCTGACAGCCTCCTTAACTGCCTTGTCTCGTCTTCAGGAGGACTCCTCTCTATGGAGAGCAGAGTGGTCAGGAGTATAGAACAAGCTTCAGACACCAGACACTCCTTTATCCTTTGGGTTAAAGGCCTGATAAATAATAATAATAATAATAATAATAATAATAAAAAAGTTCAGGAGTGTAAAACAAGCATAAACTCCTCGTTTATCAGGTGTGTTAATAGCACATTAAATAATAATAATAGTAATTAAAAAAATGAAAGAATGAATAATAAACACAATCATAATTTCCCATTTAAAACTTGAAATATTTGTAGTGGTAGGTAGAAAGTGGTAAATGTTGACACGAATTATGAGCCCCGGTGGTTAGAAAGCTGGGAAAAATGCCTTTATTTTCTACTTCGTCGTCTGTCATTTGGCTAGTCGCTCTGTCTAGCAGTTATCGTGACGTTAAAAATGACGGAATAATGATAACAATTGTGCTCGTGCTAATCGCACGGCTAATTTAGCATTTTTGGCTAAACTGCTTTTACCCTGTCCCGTGTTTTTCAAACATGTTTCTGACCCGTTACCCCAAAAAACTCATCTTTGGTTTGACCAAATAATGCTAATGTTTGTGCTCATGCTAAGTGGAGCGGCTTACTTAGCGTAGCCACACTTGTGCATTTGTGGACGGTGGCGCGACCCGTTGTTATCAAGCTAGCATTTTTGGCTATTACCACTTTTATGGAAAACCTGTTTCTAATCTGTTGCCCTGAAATCATCTTTAGCTCAACCAGATGATGTCAGCATTCGTGTCGAGGCTAAGATTCAGTTAAATGTGACCAGCAGTTAGCCAGTCATAATGTTTGGCTTGATTTAAGTAGTAAATTGAGTTCTTAGTTATAAGAATGATGTGTTTTTTTGTTTGTTTGGTTTTTGTTTGTTTTTCTTTTTCCAAATAACATTTGTGGTCATGCTAGGTGGCACAGCTAGCTTAAAAGGATTGCTAGCCACTCATGTACATTTGTGGATGCTGGCATTCATGCACTGCTAGCTTCCACGTATTGTTAGCAGGTTAGCATTTTTGGCACAACCACCTCTGTTGCCACTTTTTTGGAGACCCATTTCTAATCTGTTACCCTAAAATCATCATTAGCTCAACCAGATAACGCGGACATTTGTGCCCAGGCTAAGTTTCAGCACATAGCCAGTTAGTTAGCCAGCTGAGTTTCATTTAAATATGACCAGTTAGCCAGTTATAATGTTTGACTCACACCAGAAACCCAACAATATTGCTTATTCTGTCTTTAAATCCACGGTCAGGCCGATTTGAGGACCGAGTTTGAGCTTTTACGCAATGTTTTTCATGTTTTCTCAAGTTTGTAATAGAAACTGGGCCATCTGTGATTTGACCTTGCTTGCATTCGACCGTATTTCTAATCCAAATGTTAATCCTTTGATGATTTTGAAACCAAATACAGACTCAGTACAGTTGATGTATATTAAGTTACATATTATTTAGAATTAAAATATTGTGGAAGCTTTAAAAGGAAAGCATTAAAGAGAGAATGAAGCTCAGAGGAGGCTTCACTGAAGTGTTTGAAATGGATACGACCCGTCAGTCAGTCAGCATCCGTGACCTGCGTCTCATGACAGCAAGTGTTGTGCTCTGCTAAGTTCCTTTCTGATGTTTGTAAAGTCATTTTAGAGGGAAATTCCACAGATTTGGTAACCAAGATGTAAACAGAGTCATTCAGAGTAGTTTGGTATGAAATGGTTCATTGCAGAGAAAAGTACTGACTCAGATGTCTTTACAGTGGTGGTGATAGGAACCAGGGGTCACAATGACTACAACACAGATGTAGTCATGTGTTTTACCATCCAAAAACACCAGTGAACCTACACGAGTCTTCTGAGTGTTTATAGGTAATGTTGATGATGCAAAAATGGTGATAAATCTGAAAAAATAAGTTTTCCTTGGGGACTATTTTGCCTGACAACGATTAAAAAAAAAAGTTTTAGACCAAAATCTTCTCAAAACTATCATAAAACAGTGTCTCAGTCATCAGGCAGTGAATTCATAACCATTTCATGTAATAACTTTCTGTGAGGGAGCTTTTAGAGGTGGACGTCTGGTTCCTATCACCACCACTGTGAACAATTCTCACTCTAGAATGCAGCATTTCACATCAAACCACTCTGAATGACACTGTTTACATCTCAGCCATTTAATTACGCACAAATTAGGAAAAATCGGTGGAATTCACCTTCAGACAAACTGAACTCTTCTTGTTGTGCTTGGAAAAAATGCAGTGTTTAGCAGAAAAAGGAAGAAGAAAGCTTGTGGAAGTTCCATAGTGCACCACCCTCCATTTGGCTGCTGTGATGGCAGATGTTTTGATCTGGGTGCGTTTTGGGAGTCACATGGAGCAGGAGGGAGGTCGTGGGTCATTGTGGGATCTCTGCGTCTCCTATGTATGAAAATCTCTACTTATATCTGAAAAATACGCTTGGAATTATACAGTTTTGTATCAGATGTAGCTCATTTATGTGTACTGAATGTGCCACTTTTTGGGGGAAAATAAAGACAGTTTTGTACACTATCAAAATAGCAAATCAAGTATATTGACATCTGCGCTAAGTGGTGTGACGGGAGGAGAGAGTCTGAAAAGTCGTCAGGGTTTGGTGCCAGTAGACCTCCAGAGCGTCTCATTTTGTTGTCTTGAGTCATGCCCACATAAGGAACTGTTAAAAGCTATTCTAAGATGTCTAAGCTGTTTTCCTTTATGGGGAAAAATGAAAGGCATTCATGAAAATCTGTGGTAAACAAAAATGTCCCGTGTCCCTTTTTCTTGGGATGTCACTGGATCCTCTGAATTAGGAAGTCGATAAGGAATCAAAATGCAAATAATGCGACACGCAAGCTAACACTGCTACACGTTAAAGTGACATCACGACATCACTGTAAAAGAAAACAAAAATTTATGGAAAAAAGGGTAAAAAAACAGCGAGAGTACAAAACAAACCCCTTTGCTTAACAATAAAGCATGTTTTTCTCAATTACGGTAAAAGTCTGTAAAATTACGGTCAATTAGTTGTTTTTAGAAATACCGTAATTCAACAGTTTCACTAGTTCAACTAGTTAATCTGACATTCAGTATTTTACCAAAGTAACAGTAACAACCATTAAAATAAACTTAAATGCCTGCGAATTAGCCAGTGTGGTCATTCAGTTGCTTTGGCAGTGGTCGAGCACATCACAAGAAGCTGGTGTTGGTATTTAACAGCGTTAAAGTATCATGAGTTCGATGCATTAGAGTCTTGGCTTGCTCGTAGCATGTATGGAGCAATGTCCATACTTCAGCTGCTAAATGACCTCGTAATTTAGAGGCCGCTGTGACATTCGGAGGGAAAATGAATGTAAGACAAAGCTTATCGGGTTAGGAACGTCATGTCCACCACTGGGTGTGTCGGTTTTTCAAATGTGCCATTCATTTTTACCCGTAGAGATAACCGGCTTAGACTCAGAATTCCTTATTTGGGAATGATGATGACTACAGACACACGTTTCTTCACAGCCTGTACTCTAGATGTTGGAACATTGCTGTGAGGATTTGATTGAGCATTAGTGAGGTCAGGTACTGATGTTGGATGGTCAGTTCTGGATCACTCCAACTCATCCCAAAGGTATTGGATGGAGCTTTATCACTCCCGAAAACACAGTTTGACAGCTCCACAGCCCAGTGCGGGGGGGGTCTTTATACCCCCTCTAGTTCATGCTTTGGTCATAGGCTCCTGAGCGGCTGCTCCAGAGTGTCCCATTCTGTTGGTCATTGCTTTTCTATGGAGATTATACAAGCTGTATCAGTAATGGGTGAATCTTCACTCACTAAAAGAGCCGTCTGAATTCATGGCATCTACATTCATATGGATTGACTGAAACGGGGGTCACTGGGTGGGTCAGGGTGGACATTTGCACTACAGACGAATTTCGTACAGATCAAACTGCTTTTCCACCTTCCAACCCACTACATCTATAACACTGTCTCGTACTGGTTTCTGCCTGGTCTGTGCTGTGGAGGTAATGCACCATGTTTATCCTGCTGAGGGTGGCAGGACCAAACAGGGCAGCCGCCTTCACTTCGTTATTTCAGCGTGTTAGCAAGGCTAATATGGAGATTTACAGTGCCAATAAAGAGTTACACAGGCTTATAAATGTATACATGGATGAATCTGCTCACTTGTATGGCTGCTATTGGATCGGATTGTAATTAAAAGTTGCTTTGTTTGGAATTGAGGTGTGTTGTCATTCTTTTATACACTGTCCAAGTGTGTCCATCTCATTAGTCATTACAGCTACATTAAATGGGAGTTTACGAATTCCTTGCATAATTAAATCGTTAAGATGTAAACTTCAGAGTGGTTTGGTGTAAAATGCTTTGTTTTAGAGAAACTTACAGAGTCAGAACTGTTCACAGTGGTGGTGATGGGAACCAGACGTCCACCTCTAAAAGCTCCCTCACAGAAAGTTATTACATCAAATGGTTATGAATTCACTGGCTGATGCCTGAGCCATTGTTTAATGAGATTTTGGCCTAAAGTGTGTTTTAATAATCCATTCATGGTGGATAGTAAATAAAATGGCTGTATTTGTGTTGTAGACATTGTGACCCCTGGTTCCTATCAGCACCACAGTAAAGACATCTGAGTCAGCAAGTTTCTCTACAATGAACCATTTCGCACCAAACCACTCTGAATGACCTTGTTTACATCTGAACAAGTGAACTATGCAGAAAGTTTGAACATTCTGTGGAATTCCCCTTTAACCCTTTAATCTGAAATTGTATCTTTTCTTCAGTCCATGTGTTTTCCCAGCTTGTCTGAGCACAAATCTGAAGAAAACTGAAAGAAAAACAACATAAAAATCCAAATTTGAATCAGAATAAAAGTACAAAAATTACTTCGCATTAAAAAAAAAAACACTTAAATAGTCACTGTTGCATGTTTACCAAAGATATAACTACTCAAATCGTAATCACTCTGGACCAGGCTGCTCAACATGAGGGCCAAAGTTAGCTCTCTTGTTTCATTTGGCCCAAAGAAGGTTGCCTAAACCCCAACCCCCCCACTCAACAAATATTTTTTTATATGTAACGTCCTATTTTTCTTGTAAAGTGTGATTTTATTTACTTTTCGTGAGAGAACAAAGGGTCTAATGTTAATAACATTGACCCTAAACACCACATGGTCATCACATCCTAGATAGCAGAGAGTTCTGGGCCAATTCTGATTTACTTATGCGAGTGGTGGTCGTCTGTGGGGCAGATGTTAGGGATGTGGGCCAGAATAGGGCCAGATGCCAGACAGCTTGTCTATGGTGTGAATGTTGTGGACCAACAATGTAGCTGGGCCAGATTTGGGCCACATCCATTAGTTCTACTCACTTTACAGTGTTTGGGCCAGGTCTGGGCCAAGGACCCAGACATATACTGGTCCAGAAGAAACCCAACGATGTGGCCCACAAGTGGGGCAGACAAATTTTGCTAAAGCAATGCAGTGTACATATATACCAGTTAACCTATGATCTAATGACCGAAATGGACAGTGGTCATAACAGGGATGGCAAACGTGAGGTTTAGAGATCACTGGAATGAAGAATATTCACTTTTCCGTGAATTTAAAGACAAAACAATAAGAAACCATCAGATTTAAAGGACGCAACATTAGTAAACATTAAGAAAGCACACAGACTCCATATATATCCACACAAGTGCTAGTTAGCCTAGCCTAGCTAGCTGTGTTCTTTAACCTATCCCCCTTTAACGCACCACAAACATTTAAACCAACACTTTAAACCAGAACTGTGGCTGTTTTTTTCTTATTACACTAAACTTTGTTGTTGGGCATTGAAAGGACACGACAAACTCACTGTTAATACCCGAGAAACTTTGGACGAGCTAAGCTAAACGTGTGGCTGAGTCTCAAATAGCTCCCTACTCCCTACATAGTGCGCTGCATTGGTCAAAGTGTGCACCCAAACTGTGCACTAAATGCTAGATATTGAGTCATGCAGCTAATGGGTGAATATAAACAGCTTTCTATTGGACATACAATGCATTTAAATTGGGTGGATAAGCCGTTACTTCGTGTTCTCCGTAGTGCACTACATAGGGAGCAGGGAGCCATTTGGGATTCAGCCACAAACAAGTATTGAAAATAGTGTTAGAAACGGGACTGCACTGCACATTTGTATACATGGATGAATCTGCTCACTTGTATGGCTGCTATTGGATCGGATTGTAATTAAAAGTTGCTTTGTTTGGAATTGAGGTGTGTTGTCATTATTTTATACACTGTCCAAGTGTGTCCATCTCATTAGTCATTACAGCTACATTAAATGGGAGTTTACGAATTCCCTGCATAATTAAATCGTTAAGATGTAAACTAAGTCATTCAGAGTGGTTTGGTGTAAAATGCTTTGTTTTAGAAAAACTTGCAGAGTCAGAACTGTTCACAGTGGTGGTGATAGGAACCAGACGTCCACCTCTAAAAGCTCCCTCACAGAAAGTTATTACATCAAATGGTTATGAATTCACTGGCTGATGCCTGAGCCATTGTTTAATGAGATTTTGGCCTAAAGTGTGTTTTAATAATCCATTCATGGTGGATAGTAAATAAAATGGCTGTATTTGTGTTGTAGACATTGTGACCCCTGGTTCCTATCAGCACCACAGTAAAGACATCTGAGTCAGCAAGTTTCTCTACAATGAACCATTTCGCACCAAACCACTCTGAATGACCTTGTTTACATCTGAACAAGTGAACTATGCAGGAAGTTTGAACATTCTGTGGAATTCCCCTTTAACCCTTTAATCTGAAATTGTATCTTTTCTTCAGTCCATGTGTTTTCCCAGCTTGTCTGAGCACAAATCTGAAGAAAACTGAAAGAAAAACAACATAAAAATCCAAATTTGAATCAGAATAAAAGTACAAAAATTACTTCGCATTAAAAAAAAAAACACTTAAATAGTCACTGTTGTGGAGTTTGCATGTTCTCCCCGTGTCTGCGTGGGTTTCCTCCGGGTACTCCGGTTTCCTCCCACAGTCCAAAAACATGCAGTCAGGCCAATTGGACATGCTAAATTGCCCCTAGGTGTGAGTGTGTGTGTGTGGATGTATATGTCTGTTTGTCTGCCCTGCGATGGACTGGCGACCTGTCCAGGGTGTATCCTGCCTTCCGCCCGATGACAGCTGGGATAGGCTCCAGCACCCCACCGCGACCCGGAAGGATAAGCGGTTTAGATGATGGATGGATGGATAGTCACTGTTGCATGTTTACCAAAGATATAACTACTCAAATCGTAATCACTCTGGACCAGGCTGCTCAACATGAGGGCCAAAGTTAGCTCTCTTGTTTCATTTGGCCCAAAGAAGGTTGCCTAAACCCCAACCCCCCCACTCAACAAATATTTTTTTATATGTAACGTCCTATTTTTCTTGTAAAGTGTGATTTTATTTACTTTTCGTGAGAGAACAAAGGGTCTAATGTTAATAACACTGACCCTAAACACCACATGGTCATCACATCCTAGATAGCAGAGAGTTCTGGGCCAATTCTGACTTACTTATGCGAGTGGTGGTCGTCTGTGGGGCAGATGTTAGGGATGTGGGCCAGAATAGGGCCAGATGCCAGATAGCTCATCTATGGTGTGAATTTTGTGGACCAACAATGTAGCTGGGCCAGATTTGGGCCACATCCATTAGTTCTACTCACTTTACAGTGTTTGGGCCAGGTCTGGGCCAAGGACCCAGACATATACTGGTCCAGAAGAAACCCAACGATGTGGCCCACAAGTGGGGCAGACAAATTTTGCTAAAGCAATGCAGTGTACATATATACCAGTTAACCTATGATCTAATGACCGAAATGGACAGTGGTCATAACAGGGACTGGCAAACGTGAGGTTTAGAGATCACTGGAATGAAGAATATTCACTTTTCCGTGAATTTAAAGACAAAACAATAAGAAACCATCAGATTTAAAGGACGCAACATTAGTAAACATTAAGAAAGCGCACAGACTCCATATATATCCACACAAGTGCTAGTTAGCCTAGCCTAGCTAGCTGTGTTCTTTAACCTATCCCCCTTTAACGCACCACAAACATTTAAACCAACACTTTAAACCAGAACTGTGGCTGTTTTTTTCTTATTACACTAAACTTTGTTGTTGGGCATTGAAAGGACACGACAAACTCACTGTTAATACCCGAGAAACTTTGGACGAGCTAAGCTAAACGTGTGGCTGAGTCTCAAATAGCTCCCTACTCCCTACATAGTGCGCTGCATTGGTCAAAGTGTGCACCCAAACTGTGCACTAAATGCTAGATATTGAGTCGTGCAGCTAATGGGTGAATATAAACAGCTTTCTATTGGACATACAATGCATTTAAATTGGGTGGATAAGCCGTTACTTCGTGTTCTCCGTAGTGCACTACATAGGGAGCAGGGAGCCATTTGGGATTCAGCCACAAACAAGTATTGAAAATAGTGTTAGAAACGGGACTGCACTGCACATTTGGGGGTATTCGGGTTCGGACTGGTGTTATATTTTTTATTTTTATTATTATTAATATTATTGTTTTATAAATAAGCCAATTTTTTTCTCGACAGTTTGTTTTCTGTTGTTGTTGTTTACTTGCGGGGCGGAAGTGACGCCGTCCGCGGTTACACGGTTGGTTGGCGACAGAGAAACGGCGACAGAGTCGATCCAGATGTAAATATATTTGGTGGAAAACAGAAGCAGGGTTAGTTTATCGAGCTCCTGGAGGCTGCAGACGAGTTAGAGTCCGGCATCGAGGTCGGATTAGAGAAATGTGGAAGTAAAGTCTCTGTTTTTATCCTTTTATTGTCGCTGCTGAGCCCGGAGGAGGAAGACAGGCTGAAGAAGCTGCAGCAGAAAAGAGAGAGAGAGAGAAAGAGAGACAACAACAGAGAGACAGAGGAGCTCCGGGACCGTCAGAGGGTTTTTATCAGTGGTTTTAGGGGTCGGCTCGGGTCTTTATTCCTCCTCCGTCATGCTGAACAGGGTGAAGATGAGTCTCCTGCTGTGCTTTCTGCTCTCCTGCTGTCTCCTCTGCGCGGTCCGGACCCACAGACCGGTCATCATAGTGCACGGACTGTTCGACAGCTCAGCGGACTTTACCAACCTCAACCGCTTCATCAACGAGGTCAGACATCTCTGATATTAATAATAATACACCAAAACAGCTTCATCAACCAGGTCAGACATCCCTGATATTAATAATAATAATACACCAAAACAGCTTCATCAACCAGGTCAGACATCTCTGATATTAATAATAATACACCAAAACAGCTTCATCAACCAGGTCAGACATCCCTGTTATTAATAATAATACACCAAAACAGCTTCATCAACCAGGTCAGGCGCTGTGTCCACTCACTGTCCACTCTATTAGACACTTCTACCTTGTCAGTCCACCTTGTAGATGTAAAGTCAGAGACGATAGCTCATCTGCTGCTGCACAGTTTGTGTTGGTCATCCTCTAGTCCTTCATCAGTGGTCACAGGACGCTGCCCACAGGACGCTGTTGGCTGGATATTTTTGGTTGGTGGACTATTCTCAGTCCAGCAGTGACACTGAGGTGTTTAAAAACTCCAGCAGCACTGCTGTGTCTGATCCGCTCAGACCAGCACAACACACACTAACACACCACCACCACGTCAGTGTTACTGCAGTGCTGAGAATGATCCACCACCCAAATAGTAGCTGCTCTGTGAGGGTCCTGTGGGGGTCCTGACCAGAGAAACAGATGGACTACAGTCTGTAACTGTAGAACTACAAAGTCCATGATGTTTGATGGTGCAAAGCCGTTCAGTGCTTTAGAACTACAGCAGTACTTTAACGTCTGCCCTCAGTACAGCGCGGCTGTAGATCTGTTCTGTGAGAGATTCTCTGACGTCTGTTGTGTCCTCTAATTCCGCTCTGATACCGTCTCACTGAGCCGTATCACCTTCCACATTTCTCCTGCCCTGACCAGCAGTAGCCAGTCTTCAGTGCAGCTGTTTGCACAGCTTTCACTGCTCTAACAGCAGCAGACCTCGATAAGGCTGTTTGTATTCGGCTCCTGCGTTTACTCACGATTGTAGGATGTTTATCTAATTTAGATTAAATAGGACGTTTTACAGAAACAGGCGTCTTTATGCTTTGGGGATATTAATAAACCACAGTCTGATAACACTTCATTAGTGTACTACATTCATCTCCTATTTTATTTGGGGTTTTTCCTACCTTTGTGTACAAAAACACTCTTAATTCAGTTTATCTGACCACTTCTTTTTACCCCTTAGTTGTAAACAGGCTGTTTTTTTATCACTGTGCCTTTAAGAATGATGTATGTAAATGAGCTCTGTTCTGATTGGCTGCGCCAAATTCTTATTTTACAACTGAAGAGTTGTGTTTCCCAGATTTTCTTTTATTTACCCACGGAGTATGTTTTTGAGAGTGGACTCATATGAATAATATCAGTGCTAATTTATGATTAATTTGACTTTTATTACAGAAATAAAGCTGTTTTTTATTAAATGTCAGCTTTTAGTCTTCTCAGAAACTTGTTATATACAAAATTGCTAGAAATTTACAGCATTTTGGAATGAAACTCCACCTCAGTGCGAATGGCTGGAGCTGAACGGCTACACGCTCAAAAAAGATGGTTCTTCAAGGCTTCTTTAGCAAAGGTAGTGGTTCTAATTAGAACAGTAGAACCGCTTTTGAACACTATACAGCACCGAAAAGGGTTTTTCTTTTGTTAGCTTGACATTTTATCAATAGAAGAACTCTTTTTGGTGCTATACAGAACCATTTACAGCACATTCTCCATCAGTCTGAAGAACGCTTTATGCAAAGGTTCATTATGTGTTTATTGTTCTATATAGAACCGTTTTCTTTACTAAAAAACCTTTGAAGAACCGTCATTTTTAAGTGTGTAGGGCAATATACAACACGTTCTCCATTAATCTGAAGAACCCGTTTACGACACAAAGAACCCTTTAATCATGCAAAGGGTTCTTTAAGTGTTTATGGTTCTATAAAGAACCATTTTCTTTACTAAAGAACCCTTGAAGAACCATCATTTTAGATGTTTTGAACCATATACAACACGTTCTCCGTTAATCTGAAGAACCCGTTTACGATACAAAGAACCCTTTAATCATGCAAAGCGTTCTTTAAGTGTTTATGGTTCTATAAAGAACCATTTTCTTTACTAAAGAACCCTTGAAGAACCATCATTTTAGGTGTTTTGAACCATATACAACACGTTCTCCATCAATCTGAAGGACTGTTTCACCATGCAGCATGAAATGGCAGCACCTGGCCATGACCATCATGAAATGGTCCAAAATAGAACTCATGTTTCAAAATAGAACCGTTGCCTTTACCAAAGAACCCTTGAGGAACCATCTTTTTAAAGTGTTTGTGCTAATGTAGACAGACATATGAAAACATGCTGGTGTTTGTGAGATCACAGAGACACTGATGGGCTGATTGTTTTGTTTGGGGAAAGTGAGGAAAGTGTAGTTGTCCATGATACGGACCCTCGAATAAGGGCAGAACTGTTGGCTGTTATGAAAGCACTGTTGAGTATCTGAGCTCTCTGCGGCGTCGTATAACAGGGTGGTGTGAGTTCTAGACGCCAGTAACGTGGTGTAGATAACCACAGCCATGTGAGATAGCGGAACGTGCTGATAATGTGTTTTGAAAAGCGAAAGTGTGGAGATGGTGAACATGAGAGACGTACGCAGCCCTGAGCAGCCATTACTGTGAACGCTGAAGCTCTAACGGTTGGTATTTTTCATTATTACAGTCATAAACGCTTTTCTCCCGACAGACACGTCTGTAATAAAGTTGATCAGTGCGCTGGTGATGATGGCCAGACGCTGCTGTGCTCAGGTTACTCATTAACTGATTCGGGTATGACTGAGTTTGTGTTCAGGCCTTTTTCTTGGAAAGTACCGGAGATAACAGACCAGCCCTGAACGTCTCGGCCTGGCTTTAACAGCTAGGCCCAGTCCCATTTCACCCCTCGCCCCTTCACTGAGCCCTTAGCCCCCTGTTCTGTGTGTTCACGCCTAGGGGGTAGGGTGTCCCGATTGTTGTTGAGATGGAGGGGTAGGGCGACATGACCCTGCGAATGGAGGGTTTTCAGAGACTCCAAACGGAGTGATACGAGAAAAAAAAGAAAAACTGGCAAGATGGCGGCAAAAGAGACCACAGAAACCCACAAATGTGAGAATTTTCTCTGTTAAAAAATTGTGATAACCATTGTTTTATCTTAGTTTAGTGTCATTTCAATGTTTTATGTTCCTTTTCTTCATAACAAGCATTAAGAATCGCTAATAGTTTGCTGATGTCTCGGTAGTTCAGCTAGCTAACTTTCCCGTTCCACCTTAAATGGAGCAGCAGTTACATTCTGGCACTTCAGTCGTCAGAACTGCTGCTCCATTTAAGGTGGAACCGGAAAATTCGAGCAATAAGCTGGCAAATATCTGACTTCAGCTTAAGAATTGGTGGGCGATCAAAAATCACTGCCCCTCTTTGAAATGATATGATGCCCTAAATGTAACTAAAGCCCAGCAGTGAGGAGCTGAACTTTACCCTCCTCTGCTGTCACTGCAGACTGGTAGGGTCACCTGCAGAGCAGCGCTAGTAGCTGTTAATGAAGTGATGCTCTTCTTTATTTGAGGGTCCCATTTTGTAGAGGAAGATTTCAACCACTACCCCTTATAACTCAGTTCGAAGGGGCAAGGAGACACTCGAAACCAAGGGGTAGGGGTAAAAATAAGAAATGGGACTGGGCCCTAGTATAAAATTAACTAAAACTGTAAGACAGTGTTCAGTATGTCACTCAGCTGGGTGTGTTAATCATAAGCTTGTCACAGTTATTATTACATAACCACACAATCGAAAGCACTGCAGTTATTTCATCCGACCACAGTTATTTTCCACAGTCGTTAGGCTTCACAGTCATGATATGCAAAGCAAAGCGTAATGTTAATTGGGTTTGTTGGACTGAAGCAAGTAAATGTAAGTAATAGAATATACTGACCCGCATCTCGCACACTGTAAAAAAGATATCATAGCAAGTGTGATCATCTTAAATCCAGCCTAAATATCTAATATTTGGTTGCAGGAATATTATAAGATCATTTAACTTAATTCTAGATACTCTGTGCTTGTTTTAAACAGAAATTCCTGCATCAATCAAACACTGAGATGTAAACAGTCATTCAGAGTGGTTTGGTGTGAAATGGTTCACTGTAGAGACTCAGACGTCTTTACAGTGGTGGTGATGGGAACCAGGGGTCACCATGACTACAACACAGATATAGACATTATATTTACTATCCAAACCACCAGTGAACCTACACGAGTCTTCTGTGTTTACATGTGATGTTAATGATGGTAAAATAGTGGAAAATCTGAAGAAACTCGAGTTTTCTTTGGGGACTATTTTGCCTTAGAACACTCTGCATGCACCCCTCCAGCATGAAAGGGTTTAAAAATATGTTTTAGGCCAAAACAGTGTCTCAGAATCAGGCAGTGTATTTATAACTATCTCATGTAATAACTTTCTGTGAGGGAGCTTTTAGAGGTGGACGTCTGGTTCCTATCATCACCACTGTGGACAATTCTGACTCTGTAAGTTTATCTAGAACAGAGCGTTTCACACCAAACCACTCTGAATGACTCTGTTTATATCTTAACCACTTAATAATGCAAAAATGAATGTGGAATTTCCCTTTAAGTCATTGTATTAAGTGGAGTTATCTCACTATAATGGCAGATCATTTTGCTTGTTACAGTACATTTCTTAAGGGTGTATTTCCGCCAATATAGTGAGATCATTTCACTTAAAAATTACTTACAATATTTTAAATATGTTGAAAATGTTAGAACTGTAGACTAGATTTGAGAAATTCACTTGTGGAGATACCATTTGTGCAGTGAGTCATGTTTGATTATTTGTTACCTTATTTGTTATGTTTTTAGCGTGTAAACAAGCAGAATGAGTGTAATGTATCATTTTGAATGTACAACCAATGTCTCTCTGTCTCTGTCTCTCTCTCTCTTCAGTCTCATCCAGGTACGAACGTGTCCGTTATAGATCTGTTTGACCGCTCTGCCAGTCTGCAGCCGTTATGGAAGCAGGTGGAAGGCTTCAAGGAGGCCATCTATCCCATCATGCAAAACGCAGCCGACGGGGTTCACCTCATCTGCTACTCGCAAGGTCAGCGTTCCTCACTGCGCTGCATACGGTCGTGAAGTCTGCACACGAGCAGTATCAGTAGCTCCGACTGTGGGGTCTGTAGGACCCTCTGTCTGTGTTTCTCCCATTAGAACTGTGTAAAACTCAGTGAGGGGTGTCTGGTTATCGGCACATTGTGGTTCTGCTGTTTAACCCTTATCTCGTCTCACCACTCACACACTCTCTCTCTCTCTCTCTCTCTCTCTCTCTCTCTCTCTCTCTCCCTCGCTCTCTCTCTCTCACTCTCTCTCTCTCTCCCCCTCGCTCTCTCTCTCTCCCTCTCACTCTGTCACTCTCTCTCTCTCTTTCTCTCTCTCTATCTCTATCTCACTCTCTTACTCTCTCTCCCTCTCACTCTGTCACTCTCTCTCTCTCCTTCTCTCTCTCTCTCACTCTCTCTCTCTCTCTCTCTCTCCCGCTGTAGGAGGGTTGGTGTGTAGAGGAATCTTATCTACACTTCCAGACCACAACGTTCACTCCTTCATCTCTCTCTCCTCACCTCAGGCTGGACAATATGGAGGTCAGTATCTTTTCTCTTCTTCTCCTCCTTTCTCTTCTCTTCTTTTTGTCTTCTCTATTCTTTTTATTTGCTTCTCATTTTTTACCTCAGTTCTTCTCTTCTGTTCTGTTCTCTTCTCTTCTCTATTCTTTTTTTTGCTTGTCCTTTTTTACCTCTCAGTTCTTCTCTTCTGTTCTCTTCTTTTCTCTATTCTTTTTTTTTTTGCTTGTTTTTTTTTTACCTCTCTTCTCTTCTCTTCTCTTCTCTTCTCTTCATTTCTCTTATCCTCTGTTCTTGTCATTTCTCATTTGTCTTCTCTCTTCTTCTCCTCCCTTCTCTTTATTCTCTTCTCATTTCTTTTCTTTTATCTTCTCTTCTTTTGTTCTTATTTCTCTTCTCTTCATTTTTCTTCTCTCGTCATCTCTTCTTTTTATTCTCTTCTAATTTTTTTCGCGTGTTCTTTTTTCTTCTCCTCTTCTCTCTTCTCTTCATTTCTTCTTTCTTCTCTTCTCATCTTTATTTCTCTTCTCTTTATATTTATCTTCTTTTATTCTTATTTCTCTTTTCTTCATTTTTCTTCTCTCGTCATCTCTTCTTTTTATTCTCTTCTAATTTTTTTTCGCGTCTGTTCTTTTTTCTTCACTTCTCTCTTCTCTTCATTTCTCCTTTCTTCTCTTCTTCTCTTTATTTCTCTTCTCTTTTCATTTATCTTCTCTTCTTTTATTCTTATTTCTCTTTTCTTCATTTTTCTTCTCTCGTCATCTGTCTTCTTTTTATGCTTTTCTCCTTTTTTATTATCTCTTTTCTTCTCTTTATTTCTCTTCTCTTCTCTCTTTTCTTCTCTTCTCTTCTTTGTTTCTCTTCTATTTATTTCTCTTCTCTTTGTTTCTCTTCTCTTCTCTTCTCTTCTCTTCTCCTCAGTCTCACTCCATCACTGTGTTGCTGTTTTCTCTGCTCTAATTCTCTGACTCAGTAGATTATTACCCTTTGTGTGCTGAATCAGTCGTGCTGATCTGCTGGTCTTCAGGAATGCAGTCTGACCTCATTCAGCTCCAGGGTCACACTGTGACACGTCAACATGAGTTTTAATCACAGTGACCTGCTCTGTTTTCCTGTCAGACACGGACTACCTGAAGTACCTCTTCCCTCAGTTCGTCAAGGCCAACCTGTACCACATCTGCTACACGTCCATGGGCCAGATGATATCCATCTGCAACTACTGGAATGGTAGGGTGGATGGAGGGATGGAGGGGCTGAAAGGACGAGCAGAGGAAAGAATGGAGATGGTTGAGTCCAAAACTCGAGCCCTCAGCATCAACATATGTTGTACCTGTCATTAAATAGTCATTAAATCCGTACACGTCTACAGTTAGTGTTGTTTCGCTTTACTGTTGAAAAGACAAAATTACATAATTTATGTATTTACATAATAAATTATGTTTAGTTATGAGTCAGAAATAATGAATAACATGTTTTTTGTTATCAGCGGCATTGACTATGACTTTTTGAGTCACATGGATTAGACTAGAGAACACTGTGAACCGGGCAGTGCTGGGATTGACCAACCAGTTTCCCACATTTAGCGCAGTGTAGGCCCAGCATGTTCCTCTTACCACCACAAGATGCTCCGTCATGTGGAGTTTGGGGTGTTTTCTGCCTTTCACAAGAAGCTCTGTATCTATGAGGAATGTACTGACCCTTAATTTCTGAAGCATCTTTCCTGACCGCTGCTCTTCCTTCCCTTGCTGTGTCTCAGATCCTCACCACAGAGACATGTACGTCAACAGCAGCGATTATCTGGCTTTGCTCAACAACGAGAGGCCGAATCCCAACTCCACCGGTAATCCAGCCCCAACATCTCTCTCCTAAAATCTGACTCACACAAGCAGTGATTAAAGAGCAGCGTGTAAAGATCAGTGTGTTTGGCTGCCTGCTAATCATTTATGAGCTTATAATCACATGGTAGGATAGTCTGACTTTAAATATCAGAGAAGTATTGGAGATATGCACAGGAATATAATTTGACTGGCACTAATAATAATAATAATAATAATAATAATAATAATAATACAATTTAGCCACAAGCTGAAGGTTTAGCTAAAAGTGGAAGGTATAACTAAAAGCTAAAGGTTTAGCTAAAAGCTGAAGGTTTAGCTAAAAGCTGAAGGTATAACTAAAAGCTGAAGGTTTAGCTAAAAGCTGAAGGTTTAGCTAAAAGCTGAAGGTTTAGCTAAAAGTGGAAGGTATAACTAAAAGCTGAAGGTATAACTAAAAGCTAAAGGTTTAGCTAAAAGCTGAAGGTTTAGCTAAAAGTGGAAGGTATAACTAAAAGCTAAAGGTTTAGCTAAAAGCTGAAGGTTTAGCTAAAAGCTGAAGGTATAACTAAAAGCTGAAGGTTTAGCTAAAAGCTGAAGGTTTAGCTAAAAGCTGAAGGTTTAGCTAAAAGCTGAAGGTTTAGCTAAAAGTGGAAGGTATAACTAAAAGCTGAAGGTATAACTAAAAGCTGAAGGTTTAGCTAAAAGCTGAAGGTTTAGCTAAAAGCTGAAGGTTTAGCTAAAAGTGGAAGGTATAACTAAAAGCTAAAGGTTTAGCTAAAAGCTGAAGGTATAACTAAAAGCTGAAGGTTTAGCTAAAAGCTGAAGGTTTAGCTGAAAGCTGAAGGTTTAGCTGAAAGCTGAAGGTTTAGCTGAAAGCTGAAGGTATAACTAAAAGCTGAAGGTTTAGCTAAAAGCTGAAGGTTTAGCTAAAAGCTGAAGGTTTAGCTAAAAGCTGAAGGTTTAGCTAAAAGTGGAAGGTATAACTAAAAGCTGAAGGTATAACTAAAAGCTAAAGGTTTAGCTAAAAGCTGAGGGTTTAGCTAAAAGTGGAAGGTATAACTAAAAGCTAAAGGTTTAGCTAAAAGCTGAAGGTTTAGCTAAAAGCTGAAGGTTTAGCTAAAAGCTGAAGGTTTAGCTAAAAGTGGAAGGTATAACTAAAAGCTAAAGGTTTAGCTAAAAGCTGAGGGTTTAGCTAAAAGTGGAAGGTATAACTAAAAGCTGAAGGTTTAGCTAAAAGCTGAAGGTTTAGCTAAAAGCTGAGGGTTTAGCTAAAAGCTGAGGGTTTTGCTAAAAGCTAAAAGTTTAGCTAAAAGCTGAAGGTATAACTAAAAGCTAAAGGTTTAGCTAAAAGCTGATAGTTTAGCTAAAAGCTAAAGGTTTTACTAAAAGCTGAGGGTTTAGCTAAAAGCTGAGGGTTTATCTAAAAGCTGAAGTTTAAGTAAAAGCTGAATGTTTAGGTTTAGCTTAAGATTTAGTCCCAAAGCTAGGTTTGCGCTGCGTGTTGTGGTTAAGTTTATGCAGTATATCATTGTTTTCAATCATGCAGAGTGGAAACAGAACCTCCTCCGTATCAAAAAGCTTGTCCTGATTGGTGGACCAGATGATGGGGTCATCACTCCGTGGCAGTCGAGGTTAGTCAGCTCCGTCACTCACGTTTTACTGAACTGTGGTCAAAGTGTTGCTGTAACTTGTCTTTTGTGTCTCTTGTCTTACAGTCAGTTTGGCTTCTATGATGATAACGAGACGGTCGTGGAGATGAAGAATCAGGATGTAAGTGGTCTGTTTACAGTAGAGTGTTACTTCAGCCTGATGCAGTTTTTGTCCAGCAGATGGCGTTGTTTCTCTGTCTCGCTGAGTCATGGGCATTGAGGTCATGTTTGTGGTCAGTGAACATGTTGAGCTCTTGCTGGAGATGATAATCCACAGTGCTGCACAGTCATCTGCACTGTTTCCTCCAGAGTTTACTCACAGAAAGGCTCTTCTGAAGCTCAGAACGCAGCCAAGACACATGATTCATATCCTCCGTTTAAATGTTCCACGCATGACAGTGTAGACAGACAAAACGCACCGGTCACTGAAGGTGCTGTAGTGTAGTGCTGTCTTTTATGAATTTATAGTAGTTACTGAATAATTTATAGTAGTTACTGAATAATTTATAGTAGTTACTGAATAATTTATAGTAGATACTGAATAATTTATAGTACATACAAAATAATTTATAGTAGATACTGAATAATGTATACTAGATACTGAATAATTCATATTAGATAATGAATAATTTATAGTAGATACTGAATAATTTATAGTAGATACTAAATAATTTATAGTAAATACAAAATAATTTATAGTAGATACTGAATAATTTATAGTAGATACTAAATAATTTATAGTAAATACAAAATAATTTATAGTAGATACTGAATAATTTATAGTAAATACAAAATAATTTATAGTAGATACTGAATAATTTATAGTAGATACTGAATAATTTATAGTAGATACTAAATAATTTATAGTAGATACTGAATAATTTATAGTAAATACAAAATAATTCATAGTAGATACTGAATAATTTATAGTAGATACTGAATAATTTATAGTAAATACAAAATAATTCATAGTAGATACTGAATAATTTATAGTAGATACTGAATAATTTATAGTAAATACAAAATAATTTATAGTAGATACTGAATAATTTATAGTAGATACTGAATAATTTATAGTAGATACTAAATAATTTATAGTAGGTACTGAATAATTTATAGTAAATACAAAATAATTTATAGTAGATACTGAATAATTTATAGTAGATACTGAATAATTTATAGTAAATACAAAATAATTTATAGTAGATACTGAATAATGTATACTAGATACTGAATAATTCATATTAGATAATGAATAATTTATAGTAGATACTGAATAATTTATAGTAGATACTGAATAATTTATAGTAGATACTAAATAATTTATAGTAAATACAAAATAATTTATAGTAGATACTGAATAATTTATAGTAGATACTGAATAATGTATACTAGATATTGAATAATTCATATTAGATAATGAATAATTTATAGTAGATACTGAATAATGTATACTAGATATTGAATAATTCATATTAGATAATGAATAATTTATAGTATTATTTATAGATTATTATTTATAGATTATTTTAGATACTGAATCATGGATATTGCTGGATATTTTATAGTAGATACTGAATAATTCATACTGGTATGAGTCTTATTAATGACAGAATGATGTGGCTGGGGTTTAAATCAGTCTCTGATAGTCAGTGTTGAGTGGAGGATTTGGTCACAGATGGGTTAAACTGTGTGTGTGTGTGTGTGTGTGTTTGTGTTTTTCTCTGTGTGTGTGTGTGTGTGTGTGTGTGTTTGTGCGTGTTTTTTTTCTGTGTGTGTGTGTTTGTGTGTGTGCGTGTGTGTGTTTGTGTGTTTGTGTGTGTGCGTGTGTTTGTGTGTGTGTGTGGGTTTGTGTGCGTGTGTGTGCGTGTGTGTGCGTGTGTATGTGTGTGTGTGTGTGTGTTTGTGCGTGTGTGTTTGTGCTGCAGGTGTTCCTGAGGGACTCGTTCGGTCTGAAGACTCTGTACTCCAGAGGAGATCTGGAGATGTGCTCGGTTCCTGGTGTGCAGCACATCTACTGGCACTCCAACGAAACGGTGTACAAGACCTGCATCGAGAAGTGGCTGACATAATCGCCCTCCCACACAGAGAGAGAGAGAGAGACTATTTTTACAGACAGGATTAGTACTGCTCACTTTTCTATCATTTCATACGAGACGGTCAGATGACGATGACATCGTTTAGCACGCTTTGTTACAGTGCAGTGCTGCTAGTTCACAGCAGAACCAAGTGCATTTTTACTCCTGTGTGAGTATCTCACGCAAACCTTTTACGTTTTATCACTCCAGCGTGTTCATTTTTACCGATTTTGAGATATGTAGATGTATATATGAGAGTGTATGTATGTACGCACATACATTCACAAGCACATCATAGCTGCGCAATGCACATCAGTGCCTGAGGGATGATTCTGTCCACCTGTAAACCCAAAAAGGTTTTAAACCACTGGTTTTAAATCTTTTTCCCTGTTTTATTTACTTTTAGAGGAGAAATGAGAAGATTTTTTTCAGCTCAAACTTGAACGGTTGTGGAAAAAACTGTATACTATTAAGAGGTACCAGGTGTGGGTCATTACATGAGATCATGCAGGTTAGTTTCTAGATCCAAAATGATGACAAATCCATGTGCATGTGCCACGTAATATGACAGAATCTCTGCTTATTTCTCCTTTATAAGTCCAGAGAATTGTGGTTATTGTAGTCTTGGCATTACAGTAACAGCCAGTTGCAGTAAGAATAATTGCCTTACATTTTATTACATTTTACATTTTATTACATTTTGCATGTTTTAGTCTTTAAAGGAGAGATTTCTGCATGATTCAGTGGTTGAGGTGTAAACAGAGTCATTCAGAGTGGTTTGGTGTGAAATGGTTCACTGTAGAGACTCTGATTTCTTTACAGTGGTGGTGATAGGAACCAGGAGTCACCATGACTACAACACAAATATAGACATTTTATTTACTATCTAGAACCACCAGTGAACCTACATGCGTCTACTGAGCTTATATGTAATGTTAATGATGGTGAAATAGGCATAAATCTGAAAATATGGCGACTATTTTGCCTCACAACGCCTTGCATTGATAAGAAAAATACATTTTTTTCACATTTTTATACATTCTTTTATCAAATATGTGGTACAATGGTGTCTCAGACATTAAGCAGTGTATTCACAACCTTTTAGAGGTGGACATCTGGTTCCTATCACCACCACTGTGAACAGTTCTCACTATAGACTGTAGCATTTCACACCAAACCACTCTGAACGACTCTGTTTACATCTTAACCGTTAAATCATGAGGACAATTTTAAAAAGTGGGTGGAATTCCCCTTTAACTGTATCAGAGTAAGCGCTAATAGACTCCATGCTGATATCACAGAGGAAGACGCTAAGGAAGGAGGGAGATAAAGGGATTTGAAGAGGAGATAAAGGGATGGATAGATGGAGATATAAATGAAAGGTCAGTGCTATGTTAGCATTACCACAGTAACATACCTCTTACGTAGTACCACGTCGAAGCCTCAGGTGTACGATAGATTGTTTCTGTCTTTCTTTTCTTGCCTTTTGATTTTTGTTTTTAGGAAAAACCTTTTAAATATGTAGTTTGTGTTTTTGTATCTTAACTGCTCGTGTTACAGAGGTTTTAACCTTCATTAGTATCACTTTATTTTAAAGGGGCGCATATTGGGGCATTGCTGAGGTCTTGCTGTTGTTCGGCGAAGCCAGACGTAGACACTTTTATACAGTTTATTACTGTGCATTAAGCTCTATTCATTATAACCTGTATTAGTAGATTATTAAAAGGCCTTTTATGTGAAAATAACTAGTAATTACATTATTAGTTGTAATAATGCACAATAAACACTTTGATAAGATCCTCTTATGTAAACTACCGAATATGAATGATCATCTAACTCAGGGTTTTTCAACCACTCAACCATACGAGTGGGCTGCGGAGCACCCTATGGTGGTCCTTGGGCCAGTACTGAGAGGGGGCCAGTGGTCCTGGCAAACTAACTGACCTAACAGTTAAAATAAAACTGTATAATGTTTTAAACGGTAAACAATAATGATGCAAGCCCTGCGACAGCGTGGTAGTCAGTGTTTTTCTCTTCGCCGCTAGAAAGAAAGTGAGCCCACCTGACTCCCCACTCCCCACAGAAATGTGTAAATTATTTTGCCACCATTCTGCCATTTCTCGTACAAAACGAGCTGACGTCAGCTCAGTTAGGTGATGTTTCACGTATGCTGATAATGTAGGGTAGGAACCCAAACAAAGCTGTGTTGATACATTTCTAAAAATTACATTTTTGTGCAGAAAAGTTTTTTGTTTTTTTGTGAGGTTTCATGCTTTCTAGTGATAAATAGGTGGACCTTGATGGGGAAAAGGTTGGAGAGCCCCCGATCTAAATTCACATCTTACCTCTATCTGTCTATCTGTCTATCTATATCTGTCTCTCTCTCTCTCTCTCTCTCTCTCTCTCTCTCTCTCTCTCTCTCTCTATATGTGTGTATATATATATATATTGCTGCTGTCAGAACAAAACCTCGCATCTCCATTTTTGTCGTTTTTCAGTTTTTGACATCATTTGAAAATACCTGTTGCCTTTTACGTTGGCTGTAAATTTCATGATGAATGGACCAAAAGAAACGACCCAAAATGACTTATAAAGACGTCTGGTTCCATTGACTCACATTAAAAGTAAAGTATGTTTTTTCCTCCTCCTGTAAAGTCACCATTTTGGAGATACGAGGTTTTCTTCTGCCAACAGCGATATATATAGTAGCCTTTAATTACTTATGACTACTTTAGAATATGGTTGACACTATCTAGAACCTGTGAGAACCAAATGCTGCTGAAAATACTCTCACAAGATGATGGTTCATACTCAATAATTTAACCAGGTCTTAACAAGTTCTTTTTTTGTGCAACTAATAATGTGATTATTGATTATCACATAACAGACCTGCAGGTTTGTACTAATACAGCCCATAATGAAGAACGCTTACTGCACGGTGAGAAACGTCTGACGTGGGCTTAACTGATCAAAGAACAGGACCTTAATAACCCCTTAATAAATATGTGCTACCGTTTAACTGCATGTTTAAGGAGTCCAGCAGGAAAAGGCCTGTTTATCAGTGGCTCTGAGCAAATAAGCTGATGGGAACTAAAGGGGCGAGAATTGCACAGATCGTCGTACAGGCTGTAGCAGACGTAACCCTCAGTGTTTCTCGGGTCATATATGTGTCGATCTGTTGTGATGACAGTATTGTGTTTTTAACGTGTTGTTTCTGTTTTCTGTGTTTTAATCTGTGTTGAACAGGAAGGTTTAATACCGTCTGTTAGAGTCGTGGGGAAAGTGTTTTAAGTTTTTTAGGAATCGTATTTTACTTTTTGTCCCCTCTGTATCTAATCTGCTTTTAACAGGAAGGTTAATATCGTCAGTCTTGTGTGGTGTTAAAGGGATGTTCAGCGCTGTGCAGAAGTCGCCCTTCGTTTATTTCATTTACAGTCAAAAGGGTCATTCAGGGGACGTTATTCATTTTACAGCGTCAAAAAGGGAATTTTCCGTATTTAATGTGTCACTTTTTACCTTATTAGAGCTTCCATTCTGTTCAGGAGACTCACTTTCAGTTTTCCACACCTCCAAAGTTCAGTCTTAGAAGCTGGTTGATCATTTTCTGAAGTAATCAAACCCATTCAGTGGTGTTGGGGTCTGGACTCTGGGGTGGTCAGTCCACTGTAGCAGGTGGATCATTTTGTATCTGATGTTCCCGAAAATCTCTCCTGAAACACGTTTGACTGGAGACTGAATAATAAACGAAGGGTGCACTCTTAAAAAGATGGTTCTTTAGCAAAGAAAATGGTTCTATATAGAACCACGAACACTCAAAGAACCCTGTGCATGATTAAAGGATCCTTTCCATAATAAAACGGTTCTCACGCTGATAGCGAACCTGCTGTAGATGGCTCTATAGCACCAAAAAGGGTTCTTATATTGTTACAATACGAGCTTGTAATGATAGAAGAACCCTTTTTAGTGCTATGTAGAACCATGAACACTCAAAGAACGCTTTGCACGATTAAAGAGTTCTGTGCATAGTAAAACGGTTCTTCAGATTGATGGAGAATCTGCTGTAGATGGAGATCTATACAGCACCAAAAAGGGTTCTGTTATTGTTACAAGCTCATATCGTAACAATAACAGAACCCTTTTTGGTGCTGTATAGAACCCTTTTCAGAGAGGCTCTATACAGAACTATCTACGGCACGTTCTCCATCAATCTGAAGAACCGTTTTACTATGCAAAGAACTCTTAATCGTGCAAAGCGTTCTTTAAGTGTGGATGGTTCTTTATAGAATCATCTTCTTTACTAAAGAACCCTTGGAGAACCATCTTTCTAAGACTGGTGTCAGACTTCTGCGCACTGCGCTGTGAGTACTGTCTAAACGTACTGAACTGCAGCTGAATCTCAGTTATACTTTGGTGATTTCGAGCTGCTGCACAAACCAACATTCACCGTCTCCACGTCTCGAAGCTGATCTACCAACGTGCTTTACGATTTTTACAAGTAGGAATTTCCGTCCGAAAGGTCGGTGTGTATATTTTGAATACTAAAACGTGGCTTGTGAAACGCGATCAATGCAGTTTTATTCAAATAAAATATCACTTTTAAAAAGATCGTGTCTCTGGTTTTTGGTTCAGGTTCTGGTCATTTTTACTGTCGTTTAAAGGAGCGACTGAAAGGCACTGTGTGTTTTTATTCTGAGCTGAATAAACCCCTGTATTAATGATATTCTCTGTAATGCTGTGAGTTTAGGAGCTGTGTAAGTTGATCTTCCACCAGCTTAGCTGTACGAGATCCTACAGGACTCAGTGAGCCTCAGCTGAGTGAAGAGGTCTGGAAGGGCTATAAATATAAAAGGGCAGTAAATATGCCAGAGTTTGGCCAAAGACAAGTCCTTATAGTCAGTGAGGAACTTAACAGGAAGCCATTCTAAATAATGCAAGTGTTTGAAACTGAATGAGCTTCTCCAACTTGTTATTTTTCACACTTTGCCAGTGTCCATCAGCCTGTGTTCTACATTTGCCTTGTATGTTTTTGTCTGTCTGACTGAGGTCCAGTTGCACTGACCATTTTCTAAACATCCTCCATCCTTTCCTAATCCCATAGAAACAAACAGGCTGTTTTTGTTACCGGCCCTTTAAGACTGATGTATGTAAGTGATTGGCTGTCTTGTACTGCTGTAGGCTGAATAGGCAAATACTGAACTATTCATTTATTTATAAATACGTTTTTTAATTACTTTTAATAAATGTAGTAACTATTTATTAATTTAATTAATAATTTCTACATTTAATTCATTTCTACATAAGAGCTGTATGGACTGGGAAGTGAACACACAGACACACACACGCACACACATTGTCTTACCCGCTTATCCTTCTGGGTCACGGGGGGGGGCTGAAGCCCATCCCAGCGGTCAGAAGTGAACAGTACATTTTAAAATTTTGAGCAGTATTTACTACATTAAACTTGTATTAAAAAAAACTTATATCTTAGTGGCCACACTCTTCAAAATAGTTATGAAAAGGTGCTGATTTGCTCATTTATTATTGATGTGATATTATATATCATTTTTTATTGTAGACTATATAGCAGGTTTAGTTATATGACCTATTAAATCCCTGTTTTCCTTTTTGAAGTATCTAAGTGACAAAATATAGTGTAATGTTATAACGTATATGCACCGACCAGCCACTTCATTATGACCACCTCCTTGTTTCTACACTCATTGTCCATTTTATCAGCTCCACTGACCATATAGGAGCCCGTTGTAGTTCTA